TACCTTGACTGGATACTTGGTGGAGGGCCTTTCCTCAGATCCTCCCCATGAGTCTGTCAGGTGTGTGTGTGTGGGGGGGGGGGGCATCTTCCTCTTTTACAGACGGGAAAACATGGAGAGGAAAAGTAACTTCCTGTCTGCTATCCTACCTCTCAGCTGCCTTCCTGAGCTGCTTGGGGTGGGGGAGGGTGTCAGGGTCTGTGCAGGAAGGATGGGGGACCAGTTAGGGTGAGGCTTAGGGGTTAGGGTTGGGGTTAGGGTTAGAGTTTGGGTTAGGGTTAGGGGTTTGGGTTAGGGGGTTAGGGGTTCAGATTAGAGTTAGGGGTTAGGTTTGGGGCTAGGGGCTAGGGTTAGAGTTAAGGATTAGGGTTAGGGATTATAGGCTGGAGTGAGGGTTAGGGTTAGGGTTAGGAGTTAGGTTAGGGTTACAGGTTAGGTTTAGGGGTTAGGGTTAGGAGTTAGGATTAGAGTTAGGGGTTAGGGTTAGGGGTTTTGGGCTGGAATCAGGGTGAAGGGTTACGGGTTCAGGTTAGGTTTAGGGTTAGGGGTTAGTTTAGGTTTTTGGGCTAGGGTTAGGGTTACAGGTTAGGGTTAGGGTTATAGCATTGAGAAGCCATTGGCATGCGGGGGCCAGGCCCCCAGCTGACCACTGACACTCACCCACTTGCCCTTCACCTGCCTCTGCCCCAGCCCTCCATGGCACACGCCGCCCCAGGTGCCTTTCCTGGCATGCCAAGCCCTCCTCACGCTCCTCTGCCAACACAAGCCCATGAGCTGTGGGCCCTGCTGCTGTTCTGCTGCGTTTGCCAGCGTTCTGGGGCCCCTGATGTGCTCTTCCTCCCCACAACATCAGTTCCTTTCCTACCGGCCCTTTGAACTGCATCCAGACAGCACCTCCTCCAGGAAGCCCTCTGTGAGCCTCCCCCCACCCTTTGGACATGGAGCTTACCCTGACCACAACCACTCAGTTCTGCAAGGGACTTCTGTTTTTGCTGGGAGCGCCTGAAGGCACTGCGGCTTCATGAAGAACAGACTTGCGTTTATTCACAGTTGTATCCCGGCTGGAACAATGATGGCTTAACCCGAGGGGAGATTGTTGAACACGAGTGGCTGCGGGTGGGGCCTGCTTATGCCGACTCTGAGCTCCTGAGCCATCATCAGAAACCTTTCTGCCCCCAGAGAAACATACCCCTGTCCCGCCCCAGAGGTCCGCACTGGACTGACCAACGTTTGCTGGCCAAGGTGGTGGTGGTGGACTGAACCACAAGGCTGCATGTGGCCCCTGGGAGTTGTGTGCTGGCCTCTGACCACCCCGCAGGGAGGTGGCTGCCCCAGTCTGGGGTCCCCCGGTCCTCTGACCCCCCTCAGGGAAGTGGCTGCCTCAGTCTCCAGGGGTCCTCGGCATCCCTGGGGCCAGAGGGGACAGTTCGAGTTCTGGGACCTGTGGACCCACAGACAGGTGACTGCTGGGCTGTGCTTTCTCCAGGTCGGCCCTGGCCTTCTGGGAACCCCTGAAAACCCCTGCCAGGGCCGCCTCTCATGGGGTGACAGGCACATCCTTCCGCCCCTCTGGCCAGACCCTCTGGGGGAGGGAATGTGCTCTCCCCTGCCTGTGCCCTCCCTCCCCCGTGTACCCGCTGCCTCTGCAAGCAGGCTCAGGGCTGGCACGGAGCAGGAGGGGCTGCCCTGGTCTGTGTCCCTGGCTCACTCCTCTCTCTCCCCTGCAGCCCCGAGTGCTTCTCTGGGGGGAGAGGAGGCTGATCCGGCAACCCGAGTCCAGGGGCAGGTGGTCCTCTCTGCACCTGCAGCTTGCGCCCCACCCTAGCCTGGCACCCCGTCCTGCCACCACCAGCCCGGCAGAGCGGGGGTTCCTGGCCTGCACAGCCCCTCCGTTGCGAAGGCCAGGGGGCAGCGCCCGCCTCCCCCATCACTGCCCACTGCCCCAGCACCAGGAACATGGGGTGGACAGTGGATGAGGGGGTCAGCGTCCAGGGCTGGACAGACCTGAGGACCAGAACGAGGGCCGCTAGACAGGCAGATCCCAAGCACGGTGGCTGGGGAAGGGACCCGGGGGTGGGGGGGGAGGAGGTGGCAGGGAGGTGTGGACTGAGAAGAGGAATTAGGTCAGGGGAGTGGGTGGGTGGGTGAGCGGGGAGGGGGCAGCCCCCCAGCTTCCTCCTGGCTCTAGAAGCATCTCTGCACTTCCCTTCCTCTCCCCTCCCCCAGCCCCGGGAGAGCTCTCCCGGGATGCCCCCTCCCCTGTGCCCTGCTCCAGGCATTGCCCCCCAGGTGGGGGCGGGTGGGGGAGCCAGCCTCAGCTGTGTGAGGCATGGAGGGGCTGGGAGCAGGGCTAGGTGCCCAGACGGCCGCGTGTGTGGGAGGGCTGTCCTCAGATGCCCTCCACCGGCAGTCCCCGCTCTGACGTGGGTGCCCCCCCTCCCGCCCGGATTAGTGGCAGCTTGGCCTGACTCTCCGGGGCTCCTTCCCCGCCCCCCGCCGGCTGCCCTCCCCTGGGCAGGGGGCTATTCCATCGAGGGGGGCCCTGAGCTTGCCCAGGTAAGGGGCTCCGGGGACAGTGGGGGCTGGGCAGCTGTGCGTGTCCTTTGAACGTGTGTGAGGGGTCGGAGCAGGACTGGGCGGGCCCGTGCATAGCCCGGGGTGCCCCCGGCTGGCCTTTGTCCCCACGCCCAGCACCGTGTCCACTCCGATTGCTCTCGCACGTGTGTTTGTGTGTGTGTGTGTGTGTGTGTGTGTGTGTGTGTCTATCTTTTGTGTCTCCTGGCTGGGCTCTGGCCTCGGGCATGGAGCAGCCGCTACCAGGCTCCGTGGGCCTGCGCTGGGTGGAGCCGGATGGGAGCCTTGAGGGGAAGGAAGGAGTCCCGGCGGGGTGCTCCAGGGTCCCCTGGGACTCCTGGTCTCGCTCAGAGGTGGGCCCTGCCAGACCAGATCCAGACTCTGGGGGTCGGGTGTGGGGGTGCCCGTCCCACCTCCCCTGGCAGCCCCCGTCTGGCTGGGGGTGGCGGCGCAGGCCCCCACCTGCTGACCCAGCCTTTCCTAGGCCCCAGCCGCAGGGACCTCCCTGCACCCCCTCACTCGGCTGCCTCCGCCAGAGGACACAGTTGGGGACCACAGGAACACCCCAGTCCTCCCTCCCCACTGTCTGCTCCTGGGCCCTGGTATGTGTTAGACCTTCCTGAATCGCCCCTGGCACGGCAGGTTGGGGCCACCGCTCAGGAGAGCATTAGTCACTCCTCCTCACATAGGCATCCCCACCGGCTGGCCAGCTCTAGAACTGACCCGCAGAGCACGACAGGGGCTGGGGGCTCCCCCCTGGGCCCTGCCCTGTTCTGTCGGCTCCTTCCCCGCTGCCTGAGGCTTTGCCCCATCTGTCCCTGTGGCTGCCCCCCACCACACACACACACACACACACACACACACACACACACACACATATAAAGGGCTCAGCCCTCAGCCGCACAGTGGGCAGGGGGTGCCGCTCTGTGGCCCCTGCCCGGTGAAGGCCCAGCACAGCTTCCGCGGGAGGTGCAAGAGTCTCGGGTGGGAGGTGGGTGCCCCAGGGGAAGGGAAGCGCCCGTTGGGCGTGTGGGTTTCTGTGTGTGTCTGAATCTGTCTGTGTGTGTTTGAATCTGTCTGTTTGTGTCTGCGCTCTGGAACCACCCCCGCAGAGGAGGGATGCTTCCTCGGGTGCAGGGCGCCCTGCTTTCCCATTTCCTCTCCTCCTCCTGTTCCCTGGGCCGCCTGGCTCCCGAGGAGGGTTGCTCTGTGGGCCTGGGGGCCTGGCGATGGGAAGCGCCAGAACCCCGGCAGGCCAGGCGGCGGCAGGTGCTGGGGGACACCTGTGGGGCTCCTCTCTGTGGCGAGGACATCAGGGGCTTTGGAACAGGGACCGAGTCGGCCAGGCCCTCCCAGACGGATGTGTAGGCATCATTCGCGCATCCGCCTCAGGGAAGGGGTTGCCGGGTGGGTGTGAGAGGTCCCTCTGCAAGGTGAGGACCAAGCCCGGCCAAGGTGGCTGCCAGGTGTGCCCTGGGCCAGTGCTGGAGAGGACCAGAGGCGAGTGGTCCAGCGGGCACGGGGCCGGCTGGCTTGGGTCCGCGCGCCCATCACTGACCCGTGAGAACCCGACTGCCCCTGCCAGCTCTGGCACTGCCCCCTCCCAGCGGCCCCGCCCCAACACCCCGGGGGGCACCACGCCCCTCCATGGCCTGGTCCGGCCCCTCCCGCCCTTTGCTCCAGTTCCCGGGCTTGGCACCTATAGTGGGGGTGCTGTCCGCCTGCCAGGCTCCGGGGCCGGGCCCACGGGAGGGTGGGGCGGCTGGGAAGCTGGCACGCTGCCCCGGGGGAGCCTCTCTCGGCAGGCGCCCGGGTGCCGCGGGGGGAGGGGGGAACAAAGGGCTCATTCTCCCCGTGCGCAGCCGGTGGCATCGCCGGGGCGTTGGCGGAAGCCCCCGGGGCCGGGGAGGGGGCAGGCCCGGGCGGGGCTGCCGAATCACGGGCTCCTGTTTCCCGCAGGGTGCTGGAGGAGGGAACCGGCGGAGCAGCTTCCTCACTCTCAGTTGCGCGTCTGGCGATGGCGAACAGAGGTCCTGCTGCGCTCCCCGCTGCGCTCTCGCTCCACTAGCCGCGCTGCGCCCCGCCGCGCCCTCGCCGGTGCCTGTCTCCCGGGTGCTGGGATCGGCCCCCCTTCCCGGCACGACCCCCTCCCCCTGCCCCTCGGCCACCTCCGAGCCGGGGCGCGCGTTCCCCCCGGCCCGGCTCCCTCTCTCGCTCCGGGGGCACCCGCTCCCTCGCCCCGGCCCGGCCCTCCCCGCGGCGCAGCACGGAGTCTCGGCGTCCCATGGCGCAACCCACGGCCTCGGCCCAGAAGCTGGTGCGGCCGATCCGCGCCGTGTGCCGCATCCTGCAGATCCCGGAGTCCGACCCCTCCAACCTGCGGCCCTAGAGCGCCCCCGCCGCCCCGGGGGGAAGAGAGCGCCCGCGCGCTGAGCAGAGAGCGCGGGGAGACGAGGCGTCGCCCGCCGGCCGGGAGGCCCCGGAGCCGGCCCATGGGGAGCGGGCGCCCGGCGCCGGCCACGACGACCGCCGCCGCCTGCGCCGCGTCCGGCCCGTGAAGCCCAGGTGAGCGCGCGCCCTCGGGGAGGGGACGCCGGCGGGGCCCCGCCAGCCGCGGGGAGCGCGTCCGCCGTGCGCCCCGGGGCCGGGCCACGCGTCCGAAAGTTGGGATGCCCGCGGGAAGCCGGAGCGGCCTCTCGGCGCTGCCGCGGCGGGTGACACCTGTCATCCTGAGCCCTCCGCAGCGCGTTCAATTTTCCCTCCTTGCCTCTCGCGGCGGGCCCGCCGGCCGCTTTCCCCGCCTCCCACCCTCCCGTGCCAGGCTGCGTTTCCAGAGACCGCTGGTGGCTCTGGCACTCCCAGCTGCACTGGGCCCGCCGGACCCCACCGCACGCACCCGAGGGCTCTTAATCCCCGTGTCCCCGAGGCGGCCTCCCTGGGGGGCAGCGGTGGAGCGCGCGCTCGGGCGCGCTGACCCCGCGCTGTTCTAGCCGAGAAACTAGAGCTCTGGGCAGCACCGCCCGCTGCCCAGGTGTGGAGGCAGCAACTGGGCTGCTCCCCCCCGGCTCTGACACCCGCCCCTGCACGTCTGGGTGGTGCCTGGGGGTGGGTTGGACAGGTAGCACCACCAGGGGACTGCGGCGGAGAGCCCAGCAGGACGAGGCTTCCAGACAGTGCCCCTTTCCCAAGTCCCGCTTTATACACAAGGACCAGAGCCGGGCGAGTGACCTGACTTGCCCAGGGTGGCCCAGGGGGTCATGGGGTTGGGACCACAATCCACTTTACCCCCTGCCTGCCCCCCCCCCCAACCCGCCGTGGGATTCTTAGCATCCCCGTCCCTATGCTCGCCATAGCTTGTGGCTGGTCTTCTGGCCAGTACTGGCTAGAACATGCCTTCCCAGGAGTGTCCGCCTCTGCCCAGGAGCTCCGGACCCTCAGGGCTCTCACACATCCAGGGCATTTCGAGGGAGGGAGACCCTCCTCCCCGCCCAGGAGCACCCCTCTCTCCTTCAGCATGTTTCCCCGGCAGACCCTCAGGCTGTGTGTGGCGGGCAGTAGGGAGCCAGGTCAGGACCTGGCACTCGATTTACTGCTGAACCACCTTGGAGGCGGCCAGGCGGCCAGGTGCCCACATGGGACCTGGCGGCAGGGCCCCTGGAGTCTGTGCCCGAGAAGCTGACCCCATGGTGGTCTGTGCAGGGACCCCCTCTGGGAGAACCCCATGAGGGCAGGAGAGTGATGGAGAGCACGCCCAGCTTCCTGAAGGACAGTGGCGCCTGGGAGAAGACTGGCCCCGAGAACGGCCTCGGGGGACAGGAGCTGGAGAGTCCGCTGCGAGATGGCCCACGCCGCGGGGCCCTGTGCCTGGGGGAGCCAGCGTCCTTCTGGAGGGGTGTCCTGAGCACCCCTGAGTCCTGGCTGCCTCCCGGCTTCCCCCAGAGTACGAAGGACATGCTCCCACCAGGGGAGGGGGCTGGAGAGCGGAAGGCCGGCTGGCTGGGCGGCAAGGAGGGGCTGCGCTGGAAGGAGGCCGTGCTCACCCACCCGCTGGCCTTCTGTGGGGCAGCTTGCCCACCCCGCTACGGGCCTCTGATTCCTGAGCAGAGCGGCGGCCAGCCCAAGAGTGACCCTGTGGCCTTCCGGCCCTTGCACTGCCCCTTCCTTCTGGAGACCAAGATCTTGGAGCGAGCGCCCTTCTGGGTGCCCACCTGCTTGCCACCCTACCTGGTGTCCGGGCTGCCCCCAGAGCGCCCATGTGACTGGCCTCTGGCCCCGCACCCCTGGCTACCCTCAAGCGGCCAGCCGAGAGTGCCCCCTGCCTTCAGCTTAGGCAGCAAGGTGAGTGTTGGGACTCAGGCTCCCCTGCGTGACCTTTCATGCTGGTATACAGATAATCCATCCCCCCACACCCCCTACCAGAGAGTTGGGATCTGACAGCAGTCAAATTCTTCTGAGGGCTGTGTCAGAGACTGGCTCCCATATCACCCACCCAGAGCCGGGCTCTGAGTGTGGACTCAGGAACACTGAGGGTCTTTTCTGCGGGTGCATGATGGAGTTTGAGCTCTTTCATGTGAGCATGGGCGGTGCAGGGCTGCCCCTTCCGGGTAGACCCTTACCCAGGAATGAGATTTGTGATCATTTTGTTGGTTGGTTTGGTTTGAGCTTGGGGACCACACCTGGGAGAGCTCCGGGCTTCCATGCACCTGACTGTGCGCTCAGAGATCACTCCTGGCGGTGCTCGGGGACCTCGCCTGCTTTGCTATTGCTTCGGCCCCAAGATCTGGTACAGGGCATCTGGCCTTGTGGGAAGGTCTGGGAGGTGTTTGGGCTCTGCCTGGTGACTTTATTTTTTTATTTTTATTATTATTATTATTTGCTCTTTGGGTCACACCTGGCGATGCACAGGGGTTACTCCTGGTGGTGCTCAGGGGACCATATGGAATACTGGGAATCGAACCCGGGTCGGCCGCGTACAAGGCAAACGCCCTACCCGCTGTGCTATCTCTCCAGCCCCCTCTGCCTGGTGACTTTAGCAGCTGCATTTCTAGGAGCAGTTCTGGGGACCGGGCCAGGGAGTGGAGAGGCCTTGGGGAAGCCAAAGCAGAGAGCTTCCACCCGAGGACCTCAAGGCAGCTCTTGTGGGCAGCCCGGCCTGTGTTCCGCGGCAGCGCGAGCTGAATTCTTTCTCCCATCTTTAGGGCTTCTACCACAAGGATCCGAGCATTCTCAGGCTGGCAAAGGAGCCGCTGGCAGCTGTGGAACCCGGGTTGCTGGGCTTAGCCCCTGGTGGGGCTCTCCCGAGAACGGGGCCGCTGGAACGCCCCTCGCTCCCCCAGCGGGATGGAGAGCCAGGAGTTGGCCGGCATCCGAGTCTTTGCCCGCTTCTCCTGGGACATCCAGACACTGTTCCCCGGGGCCCCTGGCCCGTGTGTCCTCCAGGCCTGGTTCATACTTTCGGCAACATGTGGGCCGTGCCAGGCAGCGGGAGCCTTGGGTACCATCAGCTGGGAACATCCGCCACATCACGATGTCCCTCTCCCGGGCCTCCTGTCCCCCAGGTGGGTTGTTGCTCATCTCACCCACCTCTCGATGGAGGTCTTGGCCCTTGCGGGAAGTGCCAAGAGGGCCTGGACATGGGCACCAGTGAACCGGGTGAGTCCAACGAGGAAGCGAGCAAGGCCCCCACACCCAGGGCCTGCCCGCCCAGCCACCACACCAAGCTGAAGAAGACCTGGCTCACGCGGCACTCAGAGCAGTTTGGGTGCCCAGGTGGCTGCGGGGGGGACGAGGAGAGCCCAGGTGCCCCCCTGAGGGCCCTCAAGAGGGCAAGCAGCCCTGAGGTCCAGGGAGCAGTGGGCAGCCCAGCCCCGAAGCGCCCGCCTGCCCCTTTCCCAGGCAGTGCAGGGCCCGGCCCCAGAGGCTGGCTGAAGACTCAGGATGCATCACCTGGGAACAAGGCGGCGGAGGCAGAACAAGCTGGCCACAGAGGTAAGCGGGCAGGGCGGGCCTGCAGGGGGTAGGGGGAGACCCTGAAGGGGAGCTGGGGCCCTGGAGGTCCCTTAGGATGACTCACACCTGCACCTCCAGACCGCATCTCCCCAGATAACTGCTCCTACTCCGTCTGCCTCGTCCCCAGCCACTGGGCGCAAGGTGGCCCCCAGCATGGGTTCTGGACCATCTGGGTCCTGACTTGGGCTGATCCCTTCACTTCTCTGGGCTTCAGTTTCTTCATCTATGAAATGGGGATAAAGCTGTAGGAATCCGCCTCCCCCTCAGAGATGGGAGGTTAGATGATATAGTTAATATAAAGGATCTTGAAGAATTTGTGGCACTTAGTAAGTGCTCAACAAATGCTCATCTATTTGGGTGCTGCCGATTCTGGTGTGGGGCATGGCCTTGGCTGAAGGCCCATTGTCCCGGCTCAGGAACAAGCAGCAGGGTCAGACACTTGTGTGGATCTGCAGAACTAGGACTTTTGGGTTCCTCCTGGACACCTCTCATGCTATTATGATCCCCTCATTCAGTGTGTGCTGCTGGGCCTGGCCTCTGCTACAGGCCACCTCGATTTCTCATTGTGGATTATTGGATTGGACACAGCCTATAACCTTGCTCCGTGTGTGTGTTTATGTGTGTTTGTATTTGTATGTGTTTGGGTGTAGATGTGTTTGTGTGTATATGTATATGTGTGTGTTGTTGTATAGGGGTATGTGTGTGTATTTGTATGTATATGTGTGTTGGTGTGTTTGTGTGTATGTATAAGTGTGTTGGTGTGTAGGGGTGTGTGTGTGCATGTGTGTATGTGTTTGTATGTATATGCGTGTGTTTGTGTGTAGGTGTGTTTGTGTGTATATGTGTGTGTTGGTGTGTAGGATTGTGTGTGTGCATGCGTGTGTGTTGGTGTGTAGGGGTGTGTGTGTGTGTGTGTGTGTGTGTGTGTGTTGGGGAGGTGCCCCCCTGTCCTGGTCTCTGCCTGGCTGGGAAGCTGTTACCCACCCAGTAGCCCCCACCCCACCTGCCTTCCTAGATTATTGCCCCGTGATTGATTGGTCTGCGCTGAGGCTTTTTGGCTTTCTCATTTTTGGGCACCCCATCTGTGTGGGGTTTGTCTCACACGGTCTCACAACCACCAGCATCCCTCATCCACAGTGGAGCCATGAGGACTCTGCCCTGTGGATCCCACACTTGGGGTCAGTTGCCCCCGCTGCCCGCCTTGGGCCCAGCCCGCCCCACGTTAGAGACCTCAGCCCAGGCCACGTCAGGGCACCTGTGGACGCCCGCACACCCATATGTATTTGTGTGGGTCACCGTCAGTCACTGTCCTCCCGTTGTTCATCGATTTGCTCGAGCGGGCGCAGTAATGTCTCCATTGTGAGACTTGTTGTTACTGTGTTTGGCATATCGAATATGTCACAGGGAGCTTGCCAGTCTTTGCTGTGCGGGCGAGATACTCTCAGTAGCTTGCCGGTCTTTCCGAGAGAGGCGGAGGAAACGACCTTGTTGACCACGTGCAAGGCAAATGCCCTACCCGAGGAATTGTCTTTTCCTTGCTGGGGTGTGACCCCAGTGGCTCGAAAGTGGGGCTCTCGGGATGGCTTCATTGGACACGGTGGCACTGGGTGTGACGCTTGCCCTTGACGTCACTGAGTGGCCTTCTGGGCCCCCTGCCTGCTCTTCGGGAAGCTTCTGGCTCCTGGTCTGTGCTGGTGGTTCTGACTCAGGCCTCTGGGGCCGGGCTGGCTGAGAAGGCGGGGGTTCGCCTGAGTCCAGGGAGCCCAGATCCCTGACCAGCTGGAATGTTCTCTCAGGACCCCAAGACGGCAGGCCCAGCCGCCAGGACGCAGGGCCACAAGACACGCCTTGCCTGACGGCCCCAGCGGCCACTGTTCAGTGTCAGAGCTGTGCCCAGGCGGCGGGAGATGCGGGAGGGCAGGCCCGCTGCGCCCAGCAAGCACCCAGGTGAGCCCTTGCCCCCGGCCGCCCCCTTTCCCCCACCCCCGCCAGGGCCCCTCTCTGGGGCCCGCTCCTCACTGGCCTCTGCCCTGTGTCCAGGTCACCGGACGGAGGGGAGCGGCAGCAGGAGGACTCCTTGGCTGCCGGCTCGGAGGAAGGAGGAGGACCCGACGCAGAGGCCCAGCTCAGCCTGGGCATCGCCAAGCACCTGCTGAGTGCTCTGGGGGACCGGCTGTGCCGTCTGCTGCGAAGGGAGCGCGAGGCCCTGGCCCGGGCCCAGCGGGAAGGTGAGCAGGACCAGGGCCGGGGGTGGGGGGCGCTCGCTCGGTGTCCCAGCTGCTTTCCCCCACCACCACCGGGCCCCGCCTCCCACTAGCTCAGGGGATCCCCGTCCCCACCCCACTTAGCTCTTTTCCCTGGAGCGGGAGTTGAGGCATGAGAAACTTCTAGTTTTTCGGGGATGCTGGGGAGAGATCAGAGCAGCTCCCACCCGATTCCTGAGAGCTTTGCCGGCGAGGCGGGGCCTGGTGCTGGGTGTCTGAGAGCACTCCTGGGTGCTCCCACCGCCTGGGCTGGCATCCGGCTGGGCCCTCTGGCTGGGATCCAGGGTGGTCTTGCACACCTCGTGCCTGTGACTTTGTCTTCCCGGGGGGAACCAGCTCGTGTCAGAAAGCCCAGCCCTTGCCCTTTGAGCAGAAAGACCCTGCCTTCCTGGTTGTCCCCACTGTCCCCCAGCATAGCCTTGCCTCCCTGGCTGTCCTGCACTGTCCACTCTCATTGCCCTGCCTCCCCCAGCTGTCCTCTAGGATGGCCCTGCCTCCCCAGCTGACCCCACAGTCCCCTAACATAGCCTCGCCTCCCCGGCTGTCCTCCTCTGTCGCCCAGCCTGGCCCTATCTCCTCCTCACTCCCCAACTGCCCTCTGCCAATCCCCCCAGCGTGCCCATACCCCAGTCCCAGCCCTCCCGGTGCCCTCTGTCAGGAATGCCTCCTCCTCCTCCCTCCCCTCCTGCTGAATGAAGCCCGCTCACCACCACCTGGGACCTGCTCCCACCTCATCTTTCCATCTTCTTCCACATCTGGAGCTGCCGGCAGGGTCACAGCCATAGCCACAGCGGCCAGGGGTCCACCGAGAGGGGGGTGGTCCCCATGCAGTAGGACCAGGGATCTGCAGTGAGAGCTGTGAAGGTGCCGGCTGCCCCCCTCACTTTCAGGGGGGAAGCGGGTCTGTACAGAGTCCCAGGAGAAGCACCTCGGAGGGAGGCAGGAGGAGTGATGATACATCAGTCATCGGGGTGATGGGGAAGTCCCAGGGCAGGGCCCTTGCTGTGCACTCCCTGGAGGGCTCCCTGGAAAGGGTGGCACATGCGGTCCATCCACGTGGGCAGGGAGGTGCTCCCCGGAGGTGCTCCTCTCACCGCTCCCGCCCCCTGGAGCCCTCTGACCTGAAGTCTTCCGAAGGGGCCTGTGGCCCACGGCCCCTCTGACCCCATTCCCTCCTGTGCTCAGTAGGCCAGGGGCCAGACGGGGCAGAGGACAGCCCAGACATCGCGCGCTGCTGCAGCCGCTGCCGCCACGGACTCTTCAACACCCACTGGAGATGCCCCCGCTGCAGTCACCGGCTTTGTGTGGCCTGCGGCCGCATGCTGGGCGCCGGGCGGGCCAAGGGCAGAGCAGGTAGGGCAGGCTCTGGGCGGCGGGGCTAGGGGTTAGGGCTGGGGGTCTCAGGCAGGCTGTTAAAGGCTGGTGGGCCTTACTTGCCTGTCGCTGCAAGGAAGTTCAGCCCAGAGGCCCCTGTTCAGTGCCCCTTAGCACAGACCTTGCCCTTCCCCACAGGTCGGAGGGGCCAGCCCAGGTACTGGCCACCCCCTTAGGACGACCCACAGTCCTGCTCTCTCCTCTCCCTTAAACCTTACAGAGCTGTGAGGTGGGCACTGTTGCCTGTTTTCCAGTTAAGAAAGACTTAGAGAGGGGGCTGGAGCAATAGCACAGCAGGTACGGCATTTGCCTTGCATGCGGCCGACCTGGGTTCAATTCCCAGCATCCCATATGGTCCCCTGAACACCACCAGGAGTAATTTCTGAGTGCAGAGCCAGGAGTAACCCCTGTGCATCACCGGGTGTGACCCAAAAAGAAAAAAGACTTAGAAAGGCCAAGGGGTGTGTCTAAGGGGCACACGTGTCCAGCTGATACGTGTTGGGGGTCAGGATTAAGATTCCAGGTCTTCTGATTCCAAGCCGAGCTCTTTTCACGGTTCTCAGCTTTCTCTCTGTTGGCTCACCTCGGCCATCTGAGGATTGAAATTTCCCAGTGTTCCCATAGACACAGCCAAGAAGAGCCCGGGGTCAGAAACATTCCAGAACACCCTATTCCTAGTGCCCCATGGGTGATGCCCAGTGCACTAAAAGCTCTGGGTTCTTCAAAACAAAGCTCCGTGTCCCCGAAGCTCCGAGACTCCCAGAAAGCCTGTGTTTCAGGAGTGGCCGAGCCGCAGACTGAGATGCTGCCCAGTCCCTGCACCCCTGCCCCGCCCCGCACCTGTGGTCGCCTTGATTGCCTGCTTCCCTCCTCTGCCCAGGCTCTCAGCAACCCGTGGAGGAGTGTGCCTCTGAGACCGGCCACAGTGCCTGCTCCCTGATGCTCACCCAGTTCGTCTCCAGCCAGGGTGAGCCACACCGGGGAGGCAGAGTACACGGGGCAGAGCTGGGGTGCCCCACTACCACACCACCCATCCACCCACCCACCCCAGATCCTGGCCAGGGAGACCCGGCTGCTCAGGGCAGCCTCCTGTCTTGCGCTCACCAGCCGACTCTCCTCCCCTTTGCAGCTTTGGCAGAGCTGAGCACCGCAATGCATCAGGTCTGGGTGAAGTTTGACATCCGGGGACACTGTGCCTGCCAAGCTGATGCCCGGGTGTGGGCTCCGGGGGACGGGGGCCAGCAGGTAAGCGTGGGGCATGACAGAGGGGACAGAGCAGGGGACCTAGGAACCGTGTCTACACATCCCTGGCCGGTGAGGGGCTTGGGGAAGAAAGCGGGCTGTGGGCACTGGGGGGAGTCAGGCCGCCTCCCGCCTTCCCCTGGGAGCAGGGCGTCGTGCAGTGCCTGCGTCTGTCACCTGTCCTCATCTGGCCAGAGCTCAGCCCTGCTTTGTGTGTGGCCCCCTGAGCACTGGCCATGTCAGTGGAGCAGCCCCTCTGCTCCCCGGGCACGGGCTCCCGCCGGCTGGGGACCAGCCTTCGGGGCGAGTTCTCCTGCTCTGTGTGCATTTTCTAAAACTTGTACGATGGTCATACTTTTCTTGCCAAAGTCATTCATTTAAGAAAGAGCCCATCGAATGGGGCGGGGACATAGTATGTTAGATCCCCAGCACCGTGTGGCACCCCTGACACCTCCAGGCACAGCCCTGCACTGCAGGGTCCTCACATTGGGCCACTGGTTTGGTCAGCCAAGAATTGGCTGGAGGGGTCCCTGTGCCCTCAGCTCTGTCAGGAAGGAAGAAAGAAAGGGAGGGAGGGAAGGGAGAAGGGAGGAAGGAAGGAAGGGAGGGAGGGAGGGAGGGAGGGAGGGAGGGAGGAAGGAAGAAAGGAAGGAAGGAAGGGAGGGAGGGAGGGAGGGAGAGAGGGAGGGAGGGAGGGAGGGAGGGAGGGAGGGGGAGGAAGGGAGAAGGGAAGGAAGGATGGAAGAAGGAAGAAGGATGGAGGTAGGAAGGAAGGGAGGAAAGAAGGAAGGAAGAAAAAGGAAAGGAGGGAGGAAAGGAGGAAGGGAGGAAGAAAGGAAGGATAAAAGAGGGATTTTGTGTGTCAGACACCATAATACAGACCCTGCTGGGAAAGGACAGAGAGAGGCCGACATTCCGCTGGCCTGGGGCTGACACTCTCCTAGGCCGTCTGCCTGGATATGTATCTCATCACTTCTGCGTTAGCCTGCTTGGACCGTCTGCCCGTAAATCCCACAAGCTACTTTTTTTCCCCACCTAACATTACATAACCTTTTTCTCCTTGTAAACATGATTTCAGGATGTAGAGGAGGGCCATTGTTAGTACTTGTGGGCTGACTTGAATTGTGTTGCTTTTGATGCTTTAAAAATCTCTGATTGGACTGGGGGCGGGTGCGTGGGTTTAACAGAAGGAGCCGACAGAGAAAACACCCCCAACACCCCAACCTTCCTGCAATGGGGACACCAACAGGACCAAGGACACCAAAGAGGGTGAGCAGTCGACAGCCCACCCAGACTGCAGGGGTGGGGGGAGGGTGCAGAGGAGGCTGGATCAGCCTTGGGGGCAGGAGAGGGCCCTGGGGATTGGGATTGCTTCGGGCCCGCCCCTTCATGTCTCTCCCTCATCTCGAAGTACACCAGGGAAACTGTCTCAGTACGAGCTGGGACCACCCCTCTGCCCTGCAGCCAGACCCCTGTTCGGAAACCCTCCTCCGTGGGGGTGGCAGAAGGGAGGTGGTCAGAGCGAACTCCTCACGGGCAGGCAGTGCCCCGGGGAGCATGGAGGTGAAGGGAAAACCCCCCCCCCACCTGTTTCCTCCCTGACAGAGACCCCTGGGGAGGACCGCGCTGGCCGAGGGCCCCTGCCTTGCCCCTCTCTCTGTGAGCTGCTGGCCTCCACTGCCGTCAAACTCTGCCTGGGGCACGAGCGGGTCCACATGGCCTTTGCCCCCGTCACTCCAGCTCTGCCCAGCGTGAGCGAGGGCCCCCGAGGGAAGGCTGGGGCTGGGGACGAGGTTGGGCCGGCCTTCCCCGTGGGCCGGCGTGGGTCCTAAGCCCCCGGTCCTCCCACAGGATGACCGCATCACCAACATCCTGGACAGTATCATCGCGCAGGTGGTGGAGCGCAAGATCCAGGAGAAAGCGTTGGGGCCGGGCTTGCGGGCCGGGCCAGGCCTGCGCAAGGGCCTGGGCCTGCCCCTCTCGCCCGTTCGGCCCCGACTGCCTCCCACGGGGGCTTTGCTGTGGCTGCAGGAGCCCCGGCTGCCTTGTGGCTTCCACCTCTTTCAGGAGCACTGGAGGCAGGGCCAGGTGGGTCTCTCAGCTCCCATGGCCTGGTCCCCCTCAGGCCCTTGACCCCTGGGCCCAGACAGACCCAGAAGCCACGGGGCCCTCGCTCTGCCAAGTAGTTCCAACGCCCGCAACCTCCCTCCCCCCCATGCGGCCTGGCCAGGGGCCGTGCTCCGTGTGTCCTATGTTCTTTCCTTTCTCCACCACAGCCCGTGCTGGTGTCAGGGATTCAGAAGATGCTGCAGGGCAGCCTGTGGGAGACAGATGCCCTGGGCTTCCTCGGGGGCCAGGTGCAGGCCCTGAGCCCTCTGGGGCCGCCCCAGCCCACCAACCTGAGCAGTGCCACGTTCTGGGAGGGATTCTCCCGGCCTGAGAGTAAGAGTTGCTGGCGTGGGGTGCAGCGAGCGGGAAGACCTAGCGGGGCCCACAGTGGGCCCCAGGGGAATTGGGGGTAGGGGGAGGCCGTGGGGAGCAGACCGAGGCCAGGGCAAACTGATGCTGGTGCTGCCATAGCATGGGGGCCTTTGGGCCAAGGAGCTTCCCGCCGGGGCCAGTGACCCACCCTTCCTTCCTTCCTTCCTTCCTTCCTTCCTTCCTTCCTTCCTTCCTTTTTTTTTTTTTTTTTTTTTTTTTTTGCTTTTTGGGTCACACCCGGCGATGCACAGGGGTTACTCCTGGCTCATGCACTCAGGAATTACTCCTGGTGGTGCTCAGGGGACCATATGGGATGCTGGGAATCAAACCCGGGTCGGCCGCGTGCAAGGCAAACACCCTACCCACTGTGCTATCGCTCCAGCCCCATCTTTCTTTCTTCCTTTCTTTCTTTCTTTCTGTCTTTTTTTCTGTTTTGTTTTGTTTTGTTTTGGGTCACATCCGGCGATGTTCAGGAGTTACTCCTGGCTTTGTGCTCAGGAATTACTCCTGGCGGGATTCAGAGGACCATATGGGATGCTGGGGATTGAACTGGAGTTGGCCGCATGCAAGGCAAATGCCCTCGCCGCTGTACTATCGCTCCGGCCCTCCAGTGACCTTTCTGTCTCTTGCCCAGTTCGCCCGAAGTCGGAGGAAGGGTCCGTGCTCCTGCTTCACCGCGCACTGGGGGCCGAGGACGCCAGCAGGTGAGCAACGGCGTGGAGTTGCCCTGCCCCCCCTTTCTTGCTTTATTTGCACCCAACCCTGAGACCCTCCGTGCTGGGGCCTCCTTGGTAGCGGGGAGGTTGGTGGGTGCCGTGGGGCCTGGGGTGAGCCACGGGATGTGACTTGGCCCGCAGAGTGGAGAATCTGGCCTCCAGCCTGCCGCTCCCGGAGTACTGCGGTCGCCAAGGGAAGCTCAACCTGGCCTCCTACCTCCCCCCGGGCCCTGCCCTGCGGCCCCTGGAGCCCCAGCTGTGTGCAGCCTATGGTGAGTGGCCGTGAGTGGCCACCATCCCTTCCCCTCCCCTGGTACCCATCAAGGTCCTTTGCTAAGGCCCTTCCTCCGCCTCCTGCAGGGGTGAGTCCACACCGGGGGCACCTGGGCATCAAGAACCTCAGTGTGGAGGTGACCGACCTGGTCAGCGTCCTGGTCCGTGCTGAGGCGCCGCTGCCCTCCTGGCACCGGCCCCAGAAAGGTGGGTGCTTGGCCAGGGTGGGGGTGGGACAGGGGTGGGGCCAGCAGCCCCACCTGAGCTGCCTCCCTCCCTCCCGCAGACTTCCTCTCGGGCCTGGATGGGGAGGGCCTCTGGTCACCAGGCAGCCAGGTCAGCGCCGTGTGGCACGTGTTCCGGGCACAGGACGCCCAGCGCATCCGCCGCTTCCTCCAAATGGTGAGGGGAGAGCCAGCGCCCTGCACGGCTCTCTCGCCTTCTGTGGCCAAGGGCCCCTCAAAACTAACTCTGTGTGTGTGTGTGTGTGTGTGTGTGTGTGTGCGCGCGCGTGCACACGTGTGTCCTCTTGCCTTCTGCAATGGAGGACTCCCAAAAATTCTGTGTGTGTGTGTGCATGTGTGTGTCCTCTCGCCTTCTGCAATGGAGGACTCCCCAAAACTCGTGTGTGTGTGTGTGAGTGTGTGAGTGTGTGTGTGTCCCCAGAGCACTGGTTACAGGAAAGACTCTCCAAAACTGTGTTTATGTGCATGTGTGTGTCCTCTCTCGCCTTCTGCGACAAAGGGCTCTCCAAAACTGTGTGTGTGTGCGCGTGTGTGTGTGTGTGTGTGTGTGTGTGCGTGAACATGCGTCCCCAGAGCGCTGGGTACAGGAAAGGCAGGGAGGGGAGAGGTGGGCCTGGTGAGGCCAAGGAAGCGGGGAGCAACCCAAGAACCTCAGAGTTCATCTCTCGGGTCCTTGTCCCATTCTGACCCAGGAGAGCTCTCTGTGTACAACCACACACACATGCATACACATACACACACATGCACACAGGTACACACATGCAGGCATGCACAGGCACCAGAGAAGGCGGTGGCTGGCCATGTGGTCCCTCTGGGGTGGGCAGGGGCTAGCAGACGGGCAGAAAGATGCCCCTCCGAGATACTGTCCTGCCAACCCCCTTTCCAAGTGGGGGGTTGAGTAGGTGGAGGGGGGCTGAGCCGGGCTGAGGGGCAGGGAAGGAGAAGGAGGGGTAAGCGGGAGGCGGGAAGCACAGAGGGGACGAGGGTCGGGTGTGGGAGACCAGGTCAGGTCAGTGCCATGGTTCCGGGAACCCTTGGGTGACCTGGGTGCTCTGCTCTGCTCCGGGGCAGTTGGGAATTCGGGGCAAAGGGCCCTTGACGCCTGTTGGGGCTTCCGAGCGCCCACACAGGCCTGCGGCCTCCCGTGGCCCAGCCAGGTGCTGGCATCTTAGCGGAAGGGGCGGGTATAGCTGGGGGCTAGTTGGCATGGGGCGTTGGGGTTCCCCGGCTGCAGGTGCTCCCAGGCCCCTCCTTCTCTGGCCTCCAGCAACCCTGTCTGCCCCAGGCTGCCCTTGCTCAGGTTGGGCCAGAGAAAGCCACCCCCACCTGCCACCCCCGGCTGGACCCATGGGTGTCAGATTGCTTAGGGGCTCTTTGATTCCTGGGGTCTTAAACCCTGGGGACCATCTCCTCAGGAACCCAGGAGAGGGAGAGACTGGACCCTCAGTGTGGAGCGCGGCTTGTGTGCTCCTGGACTCAGGACTAAGCACCTCTGGGGTCGAGGAGCTAGAGGGGAGCTTCCTGGGCCTGGGCGGGGAGAGACGTGGGAGGAAGGGGGAGCTGGGAGAAGGGGGGATCCTGGGAGAAAGGGGGACCTGGGAGAAGGGGGCCCTGCCTTAGAAGGGCCCAGGGCTGGGGCTCGGGGGCTCCACCCCCAGGAAAGCAGGGGCCCGCCCCAGACTCAGAGCGCTTCATCCTTCGCTCTGAGCACCTTCTGGCCAGACGACCAGATGATGACCTGAGGCCTGGCCGCTAGTCACCTGCCCTCCTCCCACTCCCCCGGGAACTTGCGTCCTGCCTCTAGGGTGGCCTGGAGGAGACCCCCCACCTGTCTGTTTGTCTGCAGCCCTCGCCCCCTTGCTCATTTCCCTTTCTTCCTCCCTTTGAGGTGTGCCCGGCCGGGGCAGGCAGCCTGGAGCCTGGCACCCCGGGCAGCTGCTACCTGGACGCTGGGCTGCGGCGGCGCCTGCGGGAGGAGTGGGGCGTGAGCTGCTGGACCCTGCTGCAGGCGCCCGGAGAGGCTGTGCTGGTCCCCGCAGGGGCCCCCCACCAGGTGCTTCCCCCAGTGGGCCCCCGCTGGGCCTGTCCCCGTCCCCTGAGATCGAGGACAAAGTCATCTGGCTGAGCCGGGCCTCTCTCCTGTGTGACCTCCCAGCTCCCGACTCTGAGGGTCCAATGCCCCCGGATGCCAACTCTGCATCCCCTGGGCCTGCTTTCGGCCACAGCCTGTGGTGCCGGGTGGAGGCCTGAGGTCAAGGGCAGGGGAGGGGACCTGAGCCGGAGCCTCCCTCACCTGCTGCCGTCTTCCCTGGGACAGATTCAGGGCCTGGTGAGCACAGTGAGTGTCACCCAGCACTTCCTGTCCCCGGAGACCGCGGGCCTCTCCGCTCAGCTCTGCCATCGTGGACACAGCCTGCCCGCTGACAGCCACCTGCTCTGTGCCCAGGTGAGTGACACTGGCCAGAGCGGCTGTGCTGGCCGTGCCTGCGCCCGGGCAGGGCGTCCCGGGCAGGGGGTGGCTGAAACGATGTTCTCTCTCTCTCTTGTAGATGGACTGGGCTGTGTTCCAAGCAGTGAAGGTGGCCGTGGGGACATTACAGGAGGCCAAATAGGGGTCGCGGGTGTCCGGGCTCAGGGCAGGAGGAGGTGGGGGAGAAGGCGCTCATGCCAGAGTTTTGCTCTGGGGGGAATCCGGGACCCTTCCATCAGTCCCGCGAGCACCACCCTGAGCCCCACCCTTCACCTGGGCCCCGAAGCACTACAGTGGCACCCCAGCGCACCCCTGCCCCCCCCACAAGCTGCCCCCTGCCCTGCCCCTGCCCCGCCCCACACCCCCCTCCATGGTACAAGGCTCATTTGGGAGGGGACCGACTCCTTCCAGCCCCTACCCCCTACCCCAGGAGACCAACAGCCCTTCTTTGGGGGACCTCGGGAATCTTTCTCACTTCAACACCTGCTGCTGCCTCTTCCCCCCACCCCGCCTGGGCCCCAAATCCCGCTCACACTCCCACATCCTTCCTGCAGGCACGCAGGGCCCGTGGCTAGGCAGGGAGGGGCCCGGGAGGGGCCACGCCAGCCTCCGACTTCTCACCTGCTGCCCTCTGTGATCTCCACCAAAGTCTGGCTCGGGGAATTGTCTGCGGTGCCAGCCGAGGGAGGGAGACACGGGCTGGGTGGGGCAGGATGGCACACACCCCCGCCGGCCCCTCTGGACACCTGGGTCCCTGTTCCCACTCAGGGCTGCCCCTCCAGATATCCCCGATGCCACCACAAACAGCCAAGCCCCAGGACCCACCCAGGGGGGCACCAGCTGCAGAGATGTGGGCGTCCCGTAGGAGCCCCGTTTGTCCCAACCGACTCCGGCTCCGGGTGAGCCCATCTCCCCTCCCTGGCCTGCTGTGGGATTCCGGGAACGTGGTCTGCCAGCCTGTGGGGACCCCGGGCTCCCCACCCCTGCCTGAGACAGCTGCACCCTCACCCCAGCCGCTCCACTGTCTGTTCCAGCCCCTGTTACTCCTCATTGTTCCTGTGGTGTTTGGGGGATGTTTTTTATGAAATAAAATTTTTTATTCTAAATGCAATATAATTTTAGAAAGTTAGAAAAAGTGACCTGTAACAGTAAGTCTCTCTCTTCTCATCCCCAAACGAAACCAAATGTCAGTCATATTTTGGTGGACTTTCTTTTAAGCACTTTCTCTAAGGATCTGTTTTACACCTGATCGAACTGGTGATTTGGGGCCTGGGTTTCTTCCCTTGTTTTGTTTTCTTTTGGGACCACCCCTGGTGGTGCTCAGGGCTTACTCCTGGCACAGTGCTCAGGGATCACTCCTGGTAGGGCTTAGAGGACCCTGTGCAGTGCCGGAAATCAAACGCAGGTTAGCTGCATGTAAAGTGAGTGCTTATACCCGCTGTATTATCACTCCTGGCCTGGTTTCTTCTTTTTGACACTGAATTGTGGTCATTTTCTGTGTTCCAATCTTAATTTTAAATGACTTGGCTGTGATTTACAGACCTATTTGGAAAAAAACTGTCAGGTTCCTTTATGGTGTGGGAAGCTCAGTTATTTCTCCTTTTTCGTGAGGCAGGACAAAAGAAAAATTCAGGAACTCTTACCCTTTACTGTTTTTATTTAATTGCTCTCATTTCCTCCTTGACCACTTCTGGAGAGAGCTGGTCTTTTTCCGTTTTACAGGAGAGGAAGGGGCAGGCGGGAGTGGCGGAGGCAGGGAGGGAGGTTGGGGGTGGGGTCGGTGACTTACACCTCAAGGTCACCTGACAGTGTGGAGACTGGGATTTGCACCACATCCCCCAACTCCCGAGGACTGCACGGCGGCGGCGCAGCGGCTTTTGCTGGCCTCTCCTCCTCCTTTCAACATAGGCACTTTGTAGCTGGTCAGGTTCCAGGTGGCACCGTGTGACCTGTCCCTACCTACCTTCACTGATGGAAACGCGTCCTGGTGTCACCCGTGAATCCCCAAGCTAGTGGCTGTCCTGTGGAAGACGGGACACAGCCAGCTGGGTCCCTTCCCCCGTTCTTGGTGGTGGCACAGCACCTATAAGGGCTCATTTGATCTGACACTTGCCAACAGCAGGTGGGCAGCGCTCCAGGATTGGGCCCGGGGTGAAGCCAGTCCAGGTGGGGACAGCACTGAGTGTCCACTTCCCCAGGAGGCTTAGCAGGCGGCTTCCTGTCCACCCTGCCCTGGGGCCTGGCTTCTCTGGGCCCCCCCCCCCCCGCCCCGCCACACACACACCCAATCGACTCACTGGCCCAAGCCTCGGAGATGGAGGGGCAGGCGGCCAGTGCTGCCCTTTCTTTCCTTATAAAGCACATTATTCGACTTTTAATTTGAAATAAGCTTAGATTTACAGTCACGTCACAAAGATAGGACAGAAAGTTCCCAATTACCCTTCACCCAGCCTCCTCGCGCGTTTTTGTCTTAGGTAACCATGGCGCAGTGGGCAAAACAGACTTTGACACAGATCCGGCACCACACTGGAGGCACGGGCTCGGGTGGGTTTCCACCGTTTCCGTTAACGTCCTTTTCCACTTTGGGAGCCAATAGCGGCGCATCTCACTGACGTCCCCGAGCACAGATGTGGCAGCTTCCAAGTGCCCCGCACATAGGGGACCAGGGGGAGCAGCCTGCAGCTGGAATGTCCTTTCCTGCACCTGTCCTCACCCTCTCCACCTCTCAAGGGACCCTGTTTGCGGCCCAACCCTGACTGAATCACAGACACCCTTGCCCCACTGTGCTGGCTGTCCCTGTCCCAGGGCTCCCGGCCAAGCCTATCTGTCCTGAAACAAGCCCTGAAACGGCGCACTCATGGTCCCTGGCCTGGGTCCGGGCACATGGCCCTGCTGCCCACCCGGCAGGGGCTGCCCTCCCCGGGGCACTGGCCTCTCAGCAGAGTGCAGCAAGGCTCTCTCCGTTCCTGCTTCTAGAGCTGTCTCCCCCGACCCCCTCCCTCCCTCAGCTTCCCCCCTTCTGTTCCCCATCTGCCCGCCGTCTCTTCCTCCCAGGGCCTCAAGAACGTATTTCCTTCTCCCTTCTCCCTCAGTGCTCTGGGAAGGAGTGGGCACTCCTGCCAAGGCCCGCCGTGCGGGCTTCTGCCTGTGTGTCCCCACACAACGGACCACACTGCCTCACGACCACCTCCCCCCAAGGTTGGTCAGCCCCCCCCCCCACCCCCCAGGCCCGAAGTGCAGCCCCGCAGTGATCCTGGGGGTGTGGAGCCGCGGTTTGTGGCTGTCTTTGCTTTTGCAGGCAGTGAGACTGTCTGGTGTTTATCTCAGCCTGCCTCTGAGGCTCCCGGAGCCCCGGCCAGACATGACCTCACTCCCTCCAATCATCCCTGGGAGGCAGAAAGGAGTCTGGGACCCAACTCTGTTCCCACTTCACAGATGGGAAAACTGAGGGATAAACACATCCACACATGCACACAGCAGATGTGTTGACAAGTCACTGCACCATTCGGGGAGGCCTGAGTTTAGGAGTCCGGGAGGGAAGAGGTCTAGGGAAGAAGGGGGGCAACAGTAGTTCCCAGGTACCTCAAATGATTGTGAGACCTCTGGAAACACCCATGGCCCAAGAGAGTGCCCTGTTTCCCAGCACCTGCAGCGAGGGTCTGGGGTGAGAGCACCTGGTGTGTCTGAGTTCTGAGTATAATTCCATGGGGCCCTGCAGACCCACTGCACTCAGGGAGGACCCGGCCTAGAGGGGACCCACACTGGACAGTCCCTTGAACCTCTGGCAGGCATCTTGCCCTGCCATCATCACCCAGGAAGGAAGGAAGATAACTCCTCTGATGGGAACCCGGCTGGGCAGTGCTGGCCTGGGAGCATAGCCGGCCACACAGTGCCCAGTGTCTGACTTTAAGTCCAGTCCTTGGGGTGCACAAGGTTAGAAGGACCGTGGAAAGGGGGGCCCAACGGGGGCCGAGGCATTCACACTTGGCTTGCTTCATGGTCACTGCCTTCTAGCCGGCCCTGCCCAGAGAAGAGATTCAAATGGAAGCTTGGGGTCTGGGGGAGATGGCTTAAAGCGCATACTTTGCATGCGGGAGCCCTGGATTTGGCTCCCAGAACCCATTGCATGGTCCCCTGAGCACTGCCGGGAGTGAGTGACCCTCAAGCGCTGAGCCAGGAATTGCCACTGAACACAACCGGGTGTGGCCCAAAAGCAAGGAAAAAAAAGTCTTTTTTTTTTTTTTAAGTCAGGAAGAAAGGTCAGGCTGGGAGAGACACAGCAGCTTGCCAAAATGGCCAAACAACCCACCCCAGGGAGCTGAGGGCAACAACGGAGCCAGACCCAAGCCCTGTCCTCCGCCGGGTTCTCTGTGTGCAGGACAGGACATAGAAACTGCTGGGAAAGGCCATGGGCAGGCGCCCAGAACTGGGCCGGCATCACCGTAGCGCTTTCTTGGCCCTAAACCCGGGGGCTGCCAAGGCCAGCCACACCTTGACCATCCCATCCTCTAGGGGCCTGTCACACCTCCCGCCCAAACCAATCAATTAGCACTTGGCTTAGACCCTGGGCTGATTTTCTGTTATATGATCTCCAGTTCCATGAGCCCCTCCTGAAGGCAGAAGCTCCGGCCTGCTGCTATGGAGACATTCAGGATACTTGAGTCAAGAGAGGTCATTGGGTCGGAGAGATAGTCCCGTGGGGAGGGCACTTGCCTTGCACTGACCCGGGTTGGAATCCCAGCATCCCCTGATGGTCCCCTGAGCACCGCCAGGAGTGGTCTCCGAGCACAGAGCCAGGAGTAAACCCTGAGCATCGCGGGGTGGGGCCCAAACACAACGAAAGAAAGGTTATTTGGGAAGCGATCGTTTTTGAGCAACACTGAGGTCTGTTAGGACAAAACCTGGGAAGCGGGTCCAAGCAGAGGCCCCGGGCCTCCATGACGTCATGTCGTGACGCCACCGTCGCGGGCCACTGCGGCGCAGCCTGCAGGCAGGATGACGTCACCGCCGGCCCCGGCTTACCGGCGTGCGCTGCAGGACTCCGCCAGGGTGGCCGCCGGGTCGCTGAGTGACAGAGAGAAGAGACACCGACACACACCACCCCCCACCCCGGGCGGCGTCCCGACTGCGCCGGGGCGAGCCCTAGCGCCCGACGGCCAGGCTCCGCCCCGTGGGGCGGCTCAGCCAATCCGGGAAGGTCTTGGTGACTCGCCAGCCAATGGGCGTGCAGGGATCGCTGGGCGCTTCCGCGTTGGCGAACGCCGGCCCCGGTGTGCCGCGGGAGGGGGCGCGGGCGCAGCCCCCCCTGACCCTCGGGCCGGCCGGGCCTCTGCGGGCGAGCCCATGGCCGGGGAGGGCCTGGCGGGGGCGCTGACGGCCGTGCTGGGGGGTCAGGGGCCGCGCGTGCAGGGTTGTGACTCCGAGCCCCCCGGGGAGCCGCTGGCGCCGGTGCGGCTGCGGAGGAACGTCTGCTACGTGGTGCTGGCCGTGTTCCTCAACGAGCAGGTGAGCGTCCACCCTCGGGGCCCACCGCCAGCCCGCATGGACACCGAGGACCCACCGGCCAACGCTTCCTGCTGGGTGACGCTTCCCAGTTTTGCAAAGCACTTTGTGCGCGCAGATACACACAACGCGCACACACACACACGCACGCACACACGCACACATGCTTCTGAGTCTCAGGGGCCCCGGAAGAAGAAACTGAGGCCCACTGGCCCCGCTTTTTTTTTTTTTTTAAAGCGAGGGTTGTCTTCTGCCTCCTTCTTGCCCCACGCTGCTCGCTGCTCTCACAGATCTGTTCTGGGCACCCAGACACCCCACCCTGAGTCCCCTGGACAACCAGGTGACCTACTCCCAGAGCTGCCCTCCGCCCCCGTATCCCCACCTTGGGCTTTCCTCTTGGCATCTTATCCCAGAGCGGGATTGTAGGTGGAGGCTGCATGGGGTGAAGGTGGGGATGGATGCACACCAGCCTGATCTGGGGGTGAGGGGGACTGTGGGGTGGGTGAAGCCAGAGGGCAGCCAAGACACACTCGGCCCTGCCCCGAGCGGCTCCCAGGAGTCACACCCCCTTTCCGAAGTCAGGGGGAGGAAGACACCACTGTGGCCCCCAGCACATGAGAGCCAGTCCCTGAGAGCTCTAGCATGTGAGGGGTTCACGGCAGGGAGCTAGTGCCTGGGCCTTAGGGCAGGCGAAGGTTGTGTGGCTCTTTCCTGGGGGCGGGAGGGGATGCCCAGCCCCCGCCCAGCGCTGTTGGGGTGAGAACCCCTCTCTCCCCGCAGGACGAGGCGCTGCTGATCCAGGAGGCCAAGAGGGAGTGCCGGGGGTCGTGGTACCTGCCTGCGGGGAGGATGGAGCCCGGGGAGAGCATTGTGGCCGCCCTGCAGCGGGAGGTGAAGGAGGAGGCCGGGCTGCTCTGCGAGCCTCTGACCCTGCTGTCTGTGGAGGAGCGGGGCCCTGCCTGGGTCCGCTTTGTTTTCCTGGCTCGGTCCACAGGTATGGCCCCCTGGCAGCAGTGTGTGTGCCTGTGTGTGGGGGGGGGGGGGAGTCCACAGGCATGACCTCCTGGCAGTAGCATGTGTGTGTGTGTGTGCTCGGTCCACAGGTATGGCCCCCTGGCAGCAGCATGTGTGCGCGCGCGCACGTGTGTTTGTGCGTGTGTTGGTCCACAGGTCTGGCCCCTTGGCAGCAGTGTGTGTGTGTGTGTGTGTGTGTGTGTGTGTGTATGCTCAGTCCACAGGTATGGCCCCCCTGGGAGTGGCATGTGTGTGTGTGTGCATGTGTGTGTGTCGGTCCACAGGTATGGCCCCCCTGCAGCAGCGCGTGTGTGTGTACATGTGTGTGTCAGTCCACAGTTATGGCCCCGCTGGCAGTGTGTGTGTGCGCTTGTGCGCACACGTGTGTGTGTGTGCGTGCGTGTGTCAGGGAGGAGGCTATTGTTTCGTGTTCCCCAGTTTGCCAGCCCTGATTCTAGCTGGTACAAGCCTGGCCTCTCCAGATTCCGGCCTGAGTTCTGGCCTCTCCCAGCCTCTCCCCGCAAGAGCAGACAGCCAGGCCCCGCCTGTCTCAGAAAGACCCTTCCTCCTCTCAGCCTCCTTGGTTTTTTTGGTTTTTTTTTTTGTTTTTGCTTTTGGGTCACACCCGGCGATGCACAGGGATACTCCTGGCTCTGCACTCAGGAATTACTCCTGGTGGTGCTCAGGGAACTATATGGGATGCTGGGAATCGAACCCGGGTCAGCTGCGTGCAAAGCAAACACCCTCCCCGCTGTGCCATCGCTCCAGCCCCTTGGCCTCCTTGTTGACCCTCTGTAGGTGGAACTCTCAAGACTGCCCAAGAGGCCGATGAGGAGTCTCTGCAGGCTGCCTGGTATCCAAGAACCTCCCTGCCCGCTCCCCTGCGAGCGCACGACATCCTCCGCCTGCTCGAGCTGGCCGCCCAGTACAACCAGCAGGCCCGGCACCCTCCTCTTCTGCCCCAGGAGCTCCCCTGCACGCTGCTCTGCCAGCGGCTGGTGGCCACCTTTGCCACCGCGCAGGCGGTCTGGGTCCTGGTGGGCACGGCGGGAATGCCTCACTTGCCCGTCACAGCCTGTGGCTTCAGCCCCATGGAGCAGAGGGGCGGCATGAAGACGGCCATCCTCAGGCTGCTGCAGGAGTGCCTGGCCCTGCCCGACTTGGCCGTGGAGGCCAAGGGGCTGCTGGGACTCCAGCACCTAGGCAGCGACCAGACCGACGGCGTCTGCCTCGACGTGCTGGTGTCAGTGGCTTTTCGGGACCCGGGGCGCCAGACAGAGCCCCCGAAGGTTCGGGGAGAGAAGTTCTCCTGGTGGAAGGTGGAGGAGGAGGACCTGCAGAGGCAGCTGTCACAGAGGCTCCGCGACTCCTCGGTCGTCCCCATCACCAGATAGGAAGGTGGCGGTAGGCACAGAGCCTGCTGGCTCCACCCTGGCACCCAGACCCTGTGGCCCCAAGAACAGGTCCCCTTGTGGAAGGGACAGTGCACCCAAAGGGACAGTGCCTTCTGCCCAGCGAGGCATCCAGACTCCGGGTCCATTTGCACCAAAATGACTTGGAGGGACTCTTGCCTAAGGGAATGCGGGAACTTTCTGGACCTGAGAGATGGCATCTGCTCATCATTTTCTCTGCCTTTGGTCAAGGCCTGTCTCCTGGCCCCTGGGCATGGTGAACGTGGCAGGGGTGCTGGGGGAGGGGCCTGGTCCCCGGGGAAGCCCCCCTTGCCGAGTAAAGGGCTGTCGCTTGTCTTCCTGCCTAAGTGTCTCTGTGGGGAGAGCCAGTGGGGGGGAGGGTCCTGTTACCCAACAATGCCCACCCAGGCTTTGCCAGACGGTGTGAGCTGACCCCACGGAGAGCGGAGAGCCGGGTGACTGGCTTCCTGCCTTCCAGCCACTTGGGCACGGGGCCCTGCCAGGCTGGATGTTACCACATCCCCAGTGAAAACGGAACTCCCAGCTCTCCCGGGTCGGGGCTTCAAGTGTCTGTAGGAAGTCTGGGGGTGCAGGAGGGAGGTCCCAGGGGAACTGCCCTACGGCTGCCTCCCAGCCACTCCTAGACCTGGGCCCCCGCTCCAGCCCAGGCCAGACCCAAACCCTTCCCTCCTGCCTCCTCAGCCCAGGTTTGTCAGGAATTTTTTTTTTCTCCAAAAAAGAACTTGACTAAAGGATCAGGGAAAACCAGAGGAAGTGAATGCAGACCATGTCTTGTGCCATGTGAGGTGTTTAAGAGAGCAGCTGAGTGACTCATCACGGAGCCACTGATCAGCACCGTCTCTCCGGCTCCGAGCGAGCCCTGCCCCCGGCGTGCTGGGTGAGGCCCTGCAGAGCAGCCACATACAGCCAGGACACGGGGCCAGGGTGGGGCTCGGTGGGAGAAGCCGCACGCGTGAGGTCCCCGGTTCGCTCCGCGGCACCGCGTGGTCCCAAGCCCTGCTGGACGAGGCCCACGAGCCCTCAAGTCACACCGCTGCCAACACCCTTTGCAGAATGAGCTTTTCCCTTGCTTCGGGGCCCCTGGCTCAGCGGTGCTGCCATGCCCGGCGAGGCGAGCTCCTGGCAGGCACGGGGACATCAGGTTTGTTCTGCCAGAGCCTCCCCCGTACCCTCCCTCACACCAGCCGCGAGGGCGCGCTGGAAAAGGAGCTTGTGTTCCTTGGGGAGGAAGAAGGGCCCAATTTAGCAGCGGGGCCCTGAGCAGAAGGCCATGGAGGGCGGAGAAGCAGAGGGAGGCTGTGTCCACGCAACCACACCGTTTATTGCCGGGCTGTCTGCGGAGGGTGCACGGGCTCCGGTGTGCCGGTGAGGGCAGTGTCCCGCCCATGTCCTCAGTTTCTGAACCAGAGCGCCCAGATGCAGTTTGACCCAAGCTCTTCTCTCTGGATCCCTAACACACACCCCCCCCCAACACACACACACACAGATACACACACACACGGGCACACGGTGGCATGCACATACATGTGCAGGGGCCCTGGGCATGGCCTGGAGGAGGGAGGGAGAGCGAGAGGTCACCGAGTTTCCTCTGCTTTCATGTCACCTCTTGGCAACCTGTGGCCGGCTTCTCGGAGCGGCCTGGGCAGGAAAAGGAAGTGAAAGGGGCTCTGGCCTGCTCCTCCTTGCCCAGGAGCCATGCCAGCAACTGCGGCCCTGCTCTGAGGTAATGCCTGGCGCCGCCTGTGTGCTGCCGCAGGTTGAGACAGATTCGCCGGGGCGGGGTGGCGGCCCCAGCCATGGAGGGCATGCGGAGAACACCGGGCCTGGGGTGCCGGGCCCCTGCCCCGCGCTGCCAGGGCCCTGGGGGGCCTATGGTCGGGTGGGCATCCTGCTCTCCCGGAGCTGTACATGGGGCCCGCCACGCCGGGTGGGCCGGGCCGGATGCGTAGGGCGAAGCCCGGCCTACCGCCAGGCCTCTGAACCCCTCTGCCCAGGTGCGACCGACCTGCCGAGACGGGTTCAGAAGGCGCCAGAGACAAACCAGCTGGAGCGGGGCCTGGCACCCGGCCCCCCGGCTCCCCCGGCCCCCTCCCGCCCTGGCTCGTTGCATCAAGGTTCTCATTAGCAGCTGCCCCCGCCTGGGCGCGGAGCATGCTTTGGGCATTTGCCATCAGGCAGTTGGAAATTTTGCAACCGTCTCTGAGAGGGCCGGACAGGAAGAGGGGCCGTCGGGCTCACAGCCCCCTCCCCACGGGCTCGGCCGGGAAGGCTGGACGGACACACCAGCCTCGTGGACCTCAGCAGTGCCCACAGTCGCGGGCACGACAGCCCTCGGGGTCTCCGTCCTGCGGGCCTGTGGGTCACAAGCACCCTGGGTGGCAGTAGCTAGTGCTTCGCGGCCCTGGCACTGACTCACAAGTGGCCAGCAGGGAAGGGCACCAGCTCCCCCGCCAAGGCCCCCGAGGACATGGGGCTCCCCCGAGGAGGCTTGTCTCCGTGACACCTCGGTATCTGGCACCCGAGAGACCCACTTCCTCACACCCCATCTGGGGCAGTCGTCCAGCCGGGGCGAGGGAGCCCAGGCCTCGGGGAGGAGGCACCGTTCCCCCCGGGAGGCAGGGGGTGAAGCCAAGCCCTGTCCTGCGGGGGGTCGTGGCGTGCCAGGTGCGAGGAGGCGCAGACGGGGGCCCTCGCCTTCCCCATGTGCTGCTGGCTCAGACGTGGCCTTCGGGCTGTGCGGAGAGGCCCGGGTGAGGGCCGTGCGGGGGAAACTTGACGAAAGCGATGGCCGCCAGCTCCTTGCAGAACTCCTCCAGCACCACCACCCCCTGGAGCAGGGTCTGGTGGTCCAAGCTGTGGGAGAGAGCGGGGGGTTGGGGCCGTGCGCCCGGCGTGAGCACCTGGGCAGACCTGCCTTTGCCGCCCGCCCGCCCGGAAGCACCCCCTTCCCTCGGCGACTCACTGCTCCCCGGGGACCTGGCCCATCAGCTGCTTCCGCACCAGCAGCAGTTTCCCCGGGAACTGGGGTATCCTCTGGATTCTCTGCATCAGGTCCCCGATCACCTGGAGCAGGAACCAGAGTCGCTAGAGGTGACCAACACCCTCCTTCCCCAGCCACCCACACGGGGACCCGCGAGGAGCAAGGCCTTCCCTCATCCCCGGGTACCAGCCAGGATGCCCATCTCTGCCACCCTTGGCCACCCCCGCCCGTCCAGCTCCCTCTGCCCCCTGCCCCTGGCACAATTCCCTGGGGCCCGCCCGCCCGCCGCCCCAGGCAGCCTCACCCTGACCAGCACAGAGAAGAGGCTCCTGCAGCCGGGGGCCAGGCTGATGTAGGGGTCCAGGAGGTACTCGTGGACATGGGGGTGGGGGAAGAGGGCAAGCCGGGACAGGACGGAGGTCACCTGCAGGTTCAGGCTGTATGGCTGTAGGGAACACGGCGGACAAGGCGGGCTTGGCAGGGGGGCGGTGAGCATTTCTGCACTCCCCCAGCGAGGCGCCTGGCCAGTCTGAACGTGTGCGGGGGCGGGAGGCTCACGTGACGTGTGTGTCATGGACTCCCTGGGGCTGAGGGCCAGAACATGTTGGGGCGTGTGGAGCAGAGAGAGGCGAGACGGGGCTTCCCGCGGGGAGGAGTGGGGGGGGGGTCAGGGCTGCTGCGGAGCCAAGCAGTCAAGAGGACCACCTCTCTTCTCCCCACCCCCTACTCCCGCTCTGACCCCCACCCCCGTGGTCGGACTCCCCCTCCGAAAGAGGCCACCCGCGGTCACCCTGAGGGCCGATCCCCGACATGGGGGCTCGGCTGTGGGGTACCTGCTCCAGAATCCGGGACATGCGGTCAAACAGCATTTGCAGAAAGGCCCCCTCAAAGAAGGGCCGTTCGGGCTCGTGGGGGTCCAGGGGGGCGGGACTCGGGGGCCATCCCCAGGGGGTGACGCGGGAGCTGCACTCCTGGAACTGAGAAAGGAGGGTGGCTGGGGTGGCAACACCGCGCCCCCCTCTCCCCCAGGAAGATGGGCATGGAGCATCTCAGGCAGGCATGCCGGAGGGGAGCACGGTTGGTTCTGAGAGACTGGGGGGTGTAGGGGCGTGGGGCGGGGGCGTCCACATTCACCAGTCCGTAAGCGTCGTGGACGTATGTGTCGTATCCTGTCTCCTCCAGGAACGCGGAGGTCTTAGCTTCCTCGGGGACCAGGCAGAGGAAGCTGCGGGAGAGGACCCAGGTGACGGGGCGGGAGGGGGGCCCGCCTGGGCCGCCCCACGTCCTGCCGCCTCTCCTTCCTGCCCCATTGGCCTACCTGTTGACGATCTCAGTGACCGCGGTTCTGCCGTCGGAGTTAGTGGCCGGGGCGGGGGGAGGCTTAGCGGAGGGCTGGAAGCCGGTGTCGAGGAAGCCGTCGGAGAAGTAGGGGTCCTCCTCCAGATCCCTGCGGCCAGGGAAGCACATCGGCACCCCTGAACCTGGCCCTGGGGCTGTGGGGAGGGCCAGCGGGACACGGGGCATCGCAGGCCGGCACTTACAGGGTGTCCTCGTAGTTCTCGGGCTCGGGGCAGCCCCGCGCCACGTAAGGGCGGCCCTCAAGGTGACACAGGACCAGGCTGTGGAGGATCCGCGGGTCTGGCTTCTGCAGCAGCTCCTCAAACAGCCGCAGCGTGGTGATGCTGATCTGGGGCGGCAAGCGGTCAGCAGGGTGCCCCCTCGCACCCTCTCCTAGGGGCGGTGGGGGCTAGAAACTGCTCACCCAGATCAAAGTCTGGGAGTGGGGAGCATCTTCCACGGGCACTGAGCAGGGGCGGGAAGATGGGCGCTGTACTTGGAACTAGACTTTGGCAGTGAGTGAGCGAGGCCAGGTACAGCCCCCAGCTTCTCTGGGTTCTGTGTCCATGTCCCAAGGTGCAGTAGTATGGGTGGCTCTCGGGGCAAAGAGACCCCGCAGGCCTCCTGGAATCCCAGGAACATGGGGCCCCGGACTGGCCTGCGGGGGAGTATATTCCCATTCTGCATGCTGGGAGTCAGATCAGACCTAACCCTAAATCAACAGATTCTCCCAGCACTTCCCTATGAAAAGGCTTAACTTATAAATTAGGCCTGAGGGTGGGGGGTGGGGTCAAAACTAGAACTACAACAATGCACGGACAGGAGAGTCCAGACGGGTCTCGCTCTCAAAACGCCTCCAATGGTCATGTCAGGGAACTGAAACTGTGGAAAAGGAGGGACCCGTGTGTGTGTGTGTGTGTGTGTGTGTGTGTGTGTGTAGGGGATAGGGGGCATTGGGGGTCTGCAGCATAGAAAGTGCCATTGAAGCATGTGACTAAGGGGCTGGAGCAATAGCACAGCGGGTAGGGTGTTCGCCTTACACTCGGCTGACCTGGGTTCGATTCCCAGCATCCCACATGGTCCCCTGAGCACCGCCAGGAGTAATTCCTGAGTGCAAAGCCAAGAGTAACCCCTGTGCATCGCCGGGTGTGACCCAAAAAGGAAAAAAAAAAAAAAAAAGCATGTGACTACGAAAGCCACCATGTCACTGTGTGTGTGTGTGTGTGTGTGTGTAGGAGAAGAGGGCCCCGCCCCTCACCTCGTCGGAAAGGTGGTCACAGTGCCTGATGAGGTGAGTACACAGTGTTGGGGGGCTGTCCTCAGCGGCAGCCGCAGCAGGAGGCTGGTCGGGACCCAAGAGGAAAGCGACCACCTCCCGCAGCAGCGCAGGGGCGCGGAGCTGCCGCAGCATGGCCGTGAGCAGCGCGGTGGTGGTCAGCAGGGCCTGCTCGGACCTGCAGGGAGAGGAGAGGAGAGGAGAGGAGAGGAGAGGGCCCCCTTCCCTAGTCACCTTCTGCTCACTCCCCCTCATCCCTGTGGTCCTGGCATCTCCTCGAGGCTCTGAGCCATGAGGGTGCCTGCTTGTGGCGTAGGGGAGGGGGGTGGGGGCATGGTGGTGGCCAAGAAGTCCCTGGCCACAGTGGCGGGGGAGGAGGGACAGGGTGGGCTGTGAGGGCGGGCAGGGGCAGGCGGGGCTGGGTGGGGCACGCCCCAGGCACTGGCCCTCACTTACACGTGTAGCAGCTGCGGCTGCAGGATTTCCACCAGCAACTTCTCAGCCACCGCCTTGGCCAGAGCGTCTGCCACCACCTGGGTCCCCAAGAGCATGTCTAAAACGCAGGGTCCTCGTCGACCGTTACCCGCCGAGAAAGTGCGGTCCCCACACGGGGCCCAGCAACAGCATGAGAGGACCCTGGGCACCCAATTCTCAAGGCGGGGTGAGGGGGTGGTATTGTGTAGCACCCAGTCCTGCTCACCGGGTGGGCCTCCAGGATGAGGTGGTCGCAGTAATCAAACCAGCCCAGGAAGGCCGCCAAGGCCTCCCTGCCAGGGAACGAGGAGGCCTCATCAGATGGGGCAGTGGGCAGCCTGAGGGGGGGGACAGGGAGGAACTGGAGTGTCTGGGCGTGGCAGAGGCGGGGCTCTGGCTCCCCCTACCCGCTGCCCCGACCCCTGTCCTCTGGGGGCCAGAATCCACCCCCCCACCCCGCCCCGCCGGCGTGGTACGCAGGGCAGGCCGGACTCCCAGGGCCGGACGCCGGGCCCCTACCTCCAGCTGACGCCCTCTAAAGCGGCGATGTCGGCGGGGTCCAGGAAGGCGGGCAGGGACTGGTAGAGCCGGGCCAGGTGGGCGACGAGGGCGGGGCAGCAGGCCCGGCTGTGTACCAGGTGGGCGGCGGCCGCTGGGGAGGCCAGGCTCAGCAGAAGCAGCAGGTTCTCCCGGGCCTTCAGGGCCACGCGGCCTTTCTGGGGGCGAGGGGAACCCCTTCAGGGACATGTCCCTCCACCCCGGCCTCCTTCTGGCCTCCTGCTCTGCCCTCCCAGGCCCGCCCCCGCCGTCCATCTGTGCGCCCGCACCTTGCTCCTACACAGGCCCAGCAGGGAGGTGACGAGGCTGCTGTCCCCGGCCCCTCCGTCCGGCTCCTCCGTCTCTGCGGGCGGCTGAGGGGACCCGGCCTGGGCCCCGCGGGGAGCCCTCTCGGGAGCTGGACTGGGCACGGGCTGGTCCCTGGCGCTGGCCGCCTCGCTGGGCAGGGTGGGGGTCTCTCTGGACGCTTTCTTCCCGCTGACCATCTTTTTACCCTGTGGAGGAGGTTGGCTGAGGCTGAGGGTGGGGGGGGCGGGGAGGCCGTTCCCCATCCCGCCTCTTGGCATGCAGGCGCCTGGCCATGTCCCTTGCCAGTGGCTGGGCGGCCGTGGGGTCCCGGCTGGCGCCCGCTGCCCGGTGGGGGGGGGGGGCCCTCACCTCCAGGATGTACGTGAGCAGATCCGGCTCCTGCTGGATTTTGGAGCAGAGGACAGTGGTGAACTGCACCTCCTCCTTCTCTGTGAGGGACCCCGGCGCTGTCCCGCCAAGCCGGAGAAGTTTCTGGAAGGGACCATGGTGAAGGGAAGCCAAGGGGAAAAGGGTGGCAGGGAAGGGGCACTCACCCCCCAGGCGGTCCCTCACCTGCACGGGCCTGTGGACGTGGAGGTAGTGCAGGAGCGGGTGCTGTACCTGAGCCAGCACCTTGCTGAAGAACTGGAGCACCTGCTGCCGCATGCCCGGAGGGTACTGGGGACAGGGGCACGGGGGCACAGGCTGTGAGGCAGAAGCAGACCCCTGCCCGAAGAAGGCTCCTCCCCAAGCTACCGGCAGGCTGGTAGGCATCCACCATCCTCCAGCACAGTGCTGAGGGAGCCTTCCCACCAGCCCCTCCTGCCTCATCTTTCCTGGGCATGCGCGACCTGGACTCTCTGTAACGTCCAACCACCCCCTCTCCGACTCTTTTCTTTTCTTTTTCCTTTTTTTTTCCTTTTTGGGTCCCACCCGGCGATGCTCAGGGGTTACTCCTGGCTCTGCACTCAGGAATCACTCCTGGCGGTGCTCAGGGGACCATATGGGATGCAGGGAATCGAACCCGGGTCGGCCGCGTGCAAGGCAAACGCCCTACCCTCTGTGCTATTGCTCCACCCCCCCTCCCTCCCTCTCTTCACCGCTACAGAGACACAGCCTGGCACCAGGCTAACCCCAGGCACCTCTGCTGAGGGGTAACGGGGGACCCCCTAAGCCAAGAAGGGAGGGCCGGGGGTGGGGGAGGTGGCAGGTGCTCTGAGTGGGACTGGGAGGTGCTCTCGGCCCCACCAGTGGCAGGACTGAGTGCGGACCCCAGGGGCCCTGGCTGGCACGGAAGGTTCTGGAAGTGCTCCGGGGCAGCCCACCTCGGCCTTGCCCAGCGTGCACAGGGTCTCCAGGATCTTGTGCTGCAGCAGGTACTCCAGACATGGCCCGGCCTCGCTGGCTGCCGCCTGCTGCTGCTCCTCATACACCAGGATGTCCAGCATCTGCTTCAGCCGCCAGGGAATGTCTGTCTTCTTGACCGGGGTGTTTTCATCTGGTTGGGGGGGGGGGCGGGGAGGGGAACAACGGGAAGAAGGGTGACAAAGGTCACTGGCTGCAGTCAGATCTGAGGGTCCCAAGGGTGGGCAGTGTGAAAGGAGATCAGGGGACAGTTTGCTTCCACCAGAGGTCAGAGAGCATGGACACTGACAGCTGATGCCTCTAAGCTGCAGAGAGACCAGACCCGTGGACGCGGCTCAGGAGACGCCCCTTACAGCCTGCGGGGGGAAGCTCGCTCGTCTTCCTGTCTCCAAACCTGGGCGATGTGCTCGGCCGCTGGCCAGCACTGTCCTTCCCCAGGACCCAACTGAAGGTCTCTGGCAGGTGCTGGCAGAAAATCTCCAGCACTCGTGAAGTCCCTTTTCTTTCACAGAGGGCAATGCTGTTTCTCACAGAGCAGAAACAGGTGCATGGAGGGGCAGGGAGCCCCCGTGGTGCTCTGAAGGAAGCCGGTCATGGAGGCCCAGGGGAGAGGAATCTGTGGGAACTCTGATGAGTCTTGAAGTATCCCCGAGCTTCTCTGGAGGGCACTGGCTCTCCACAAGGTGCCTGCCGCCCCTCCTCCCACACTTCTGGTCTGGGGAGTGTTCTGGAAATGGCTGGTTTGGGTGCAGACAGACCCGACTGCTCTCTGGGCCTCCTCTGATTCCCCTGGTGACTGGCTCTGTCAGGAGGCTGCCCATCTGAAGGCCACACACACACGTCCTGTGACAAGCCCCCCACTCCCCCGCCCCGGGAAATGACAGCCAGCCTGGTGCCTCTCGAGTTCGTGGCACTAAACAGCATACTGGAAAGTGGCTAAGGGCGTAAATCTTAGTTCTCATCACCAGAAGACAAAGCCATAACTGCGGCGATGAATGCTAATGAGACTTCTTGTGGTCACGGTGCAGCAGACAGACTAATGTGGGTGCACCTGAGACAGACTAATGGGTGTCAGTCAGAAAGGGTGGAGATGGGAGGGAGAGAGGCAAGGGGAGCAAGAGGGAAGGAAGGAGAGGAAGAGGAAAGGGGGGAGAGAGGGAGAAAGAGGGAAGAAAGAAGAGACAACGGAGAGGGAAACGGAGGGAAGGAGGGAGAGAGAGTGGGAGAGAGCAAGAGAGACAGAGAGAGAGAGACAGAGAGCGCGTAAGTCTAAAACAATCATTCCCAATTGGGGGACATTTGACATAATCTGGGGAAACTACTGCGGTGTCACAGTAGGGGAAGCATTACGGTCATATAGTGGGGAGAGTCCGGGTTTGCCACTGGGCACCACAATGCCCAGCATGGTCCCCCACCACTGAGAATGGCATAGTGCCTATGGCAACAGTGCCAAGATCCAGAGATCTGGCTGGCAGACAGGGGCCCTTGAATCTTGCTCTTTAACTTCCTGGGCTCGCTGAGGCTGCAAAGAAACGTTCAGGAACAGGGCAGCCCGTCTGACCAGGGAGGTGGGCACAAGGGGCGCAGGGTTCCCTGATAGTCGACAAGTGAGTGTCTACCCCTCAGTCATACCCGGGCAGCCTGGACGCCGGCGGCTGCCATGGACTCAGCTTGGACAGAAGGACTCATTCTGTCACTCACATACATCATCCTTCCTTCCCTCCTCCCTGAGGGCCACCGGCAAGTGTCCTCCACGCCGGCTCAGGGAAATCAGACATTAGTTCATTGCTTTTCTTTTTTTTTTTCTTTTTTTGGGTCACACCTGGCGATACACAGGGGTTACTCCTGGCTCTGCACTCAGGAGTTACTCCTGGCGGTGCTCAGGGTACCTTATGAGATGCTGGGTCGGCTGCGTGCAAGGCAAATGCCCTACCCCCTTTGCTATCGCTCCAGCCCCAGTTCATTGCTTCTATTTTAATCAGCGAACCCCGAGCACAGCGCTTGAGGATGGAAAGTTCGGAGGCCAGGGCCAGGGCAAGCTGCTGGGCACAGGCCTCAACCTCTGTCTTGCAGAGTCAGCCCCGTGCAAAGGCCAGGGTGGGGGGGTCCCCTTTCACAGGACCCGGCCACGCCCCTCCTCCCCACCCCCTCCGGGAGCCCACCTGTGCTTTCGATGTAGTAGTGCGTGATGCCTTTCCAGTGCTCCACGAAGGCCTCGAGCAGGTCGACGCTGGGCTCCCGCTGCAGAGAGAGCAGGGACATAGGCTAGAGGCGGCCGCGAAGGTGATGAGGTAATGTGGGTGCCCCCAAGATAGACCAATGGGTGTCAGGGCACAGGCACTGCCATCTACTGAGCGTCTCATCCCAGATCAGGGTTCTCGCAGGGAGAGTTTCTCCCGGACACATGCGCGCGGTCCCTGATGGAGCCGACACCACATGTGGTGCTGACACCCTCACCAGGCAACCCTCCCTCCTGTTGGGCCCTGACATGATCCCACAATCCCTGTCCTGCCAGAGCAGAGGGTACTGCAAGGGAAACAACGCAAGCACCTCAATGCAACACAGGTGTGCTGCTATCGCAGCGGCCTAGAGAAAAAGAGCAGAGTGGATAGGAAGCACCATGAAAACAGAGCCTTCCAGATCGGAGAAGGAGGAAAGCGGGCGCAAGGCCAGGACAGACGCCACTCCACTAGGTGGGGAACGTTAGTGTATTAGGGCCTTACTTCATTTTGGGGGGGCCCTAAGCGGTGTTCAGGGGTCTGGCAATTCTTCGTCGAACAGGCCAATCCTGGTTCATGTACCCGGTCCTCCAGGGCTGTGCCTGGTGGCAGGGATCAAAGAGCGGCTGGCCCCATGCAAGGCATATGCCTGAACTCCGATTCTACCTCTCTGGCCTCTGCGTGCTTTACTTAGGAGTATTACATTTCCAAGTCTGCAGTCTGTGCACGCAGGTCCTCCTTAGCTGTCTCTGCTCCTGTTCCTGCCTCCTCCAGCTCCTTCCAGAATTCCGATCCCCCTAATAACAAACCTTAAACCTTCTCTTGGCCTAGAAGTGCCATCTCCACACCTCAGCTGAAGCAAACCTTGAGCCAACAGCCACCACTGTCCCCGAAAAACCTCTCCAAAAATGGGCAATTTTTTTCCCTCTTTCCTGCAGAATAGAAGTCTGCAGGAAGAAAATAATCGCCCTGGTCCCAAAGTGCTTATCCCTCGCTTTCTACCCTATTCAGGTCACTCAGAGGTCGTGTATCTCTCTGGCCCTTAGGGATCTAGCAGTCCCCAGCTCCATAAAACCCTCTTCTTGGATCTCTCTCTCTCTCCCCCCCTTCCCCTCATGCTCTACAGCACCAGTAAACTGCGTTTTTAAATTACTCGTTTGGTTCAGATCTTTTCAGTGCCAGCGTCTGTAAGATACTGGCTAGATGCTATGAACAAGACAAGGCTGTTTCACATCCGATCCTCAAGAAACCTACTACAGGGCCAGGGAGACAGCTCACAGGGATAAAGTGTACAAGATCCAGGGTCTGATCCCTGGCACCGCATGCCCTCCCCCAGCACTGCCAAAACAGTCCTGGGAGCCCACGAGCACCACCGGGTGTAACTCTGGTGCTCCCAGAGTTCTGAGCAGAGCACAAAACCATCAGATCAGCAACGCTAGGCCAAGTAACACTGGATCCCAGCACCTCTGTGGAGTTCAGAGAAAGGAAAGTGGGGCTGGAGCGATAATAGAGCGGGAAGGGCTTTTGCCTTGCACACAGCCGACCCGGGTTCGGTCCCCAGCATCCCTTATGGTTCCCCCGAGCACCACCAGGAGTGATTCTTGAGTGAAGAGCCAGGACTAACCCCTGAGCATTGCCGAGTGTGACCCAAAAAGCCAACTAAAAAAATTAAAAAAAAAAACAAGAGGAAGGGAGGGAGGAAGGAATAAGGAATAAATGAAGGAAGGGAGGGAGGAAGAAGGAGAGAATAAAGAGGGAGGGAGGGAGGAAGGAGGAAAGAATGATGGAAGGAAGAAAGGGAGGGAGAGGGAGAGAGGAATAAGGACGAAAGAATGAAGGAAGGAAGGGAGGGAGGGAGGGAGGGACTAAAGCAAATGAAACTGCCAAGATACTCTGGGCTGGGTATCTCCAGGAGGGCTCCTCAGCCTCCCTGAGTACTGTCTGGGAGTCCCCCATGCCAAAACAAAAATGATTCTTTCCTAATGATCCATTTTGGTTAACACTGTGTACCCCCGCTGTTCCTATTCTTACTGGGGTTGTTGTTTTGGGTTTACACCAAATTCAAGGCTTTAGGAGATTATGAATTCCGAGGCTCGCCAAGGGCCTGCCACAGAAGGTCTGTGGGCTGGTGGGGAGCCAGAGGAAAGGTGCTGAGACGCTTTGTAAATGAGCCTGGGACCTCTGGGGCAGGCCAGCAGCCGGCCCCCGGAGAGCTCGTGGTCCATTTCAAGAGGCTGCTGCTAGGGGCCAGAGCAGTAGGACAGCAGCGAGGGCGTCTGCCTTGCACTCAGCCAAGCAGGGTCCGATCCCCAGCACCCCAGATGGATTCCTTAAGCCCCACCGGGACTATTTCCTGAGTGCAGAGCCAGGAGTAACCAACACCTGAACACTGCCAGGTGTGTGGCTCGAAAACAAAAACAAAACCAGCCTCCCCCCAAAGACCAACCCAACACAAATAAAACCCCCAACAAACCAAAACAAACCAACCAACCAAGCCCGGGAGGCTGAGCACTGATAGCAGCACATGGAATGCAATGAGGGCTGGGGCTGGGGCTGCCCCGCCTCAGGGCACCTGGCCAGGAGAGCTGGGGAGTAGGGGGTGGGAGGGGCTTAAGGCCTGGGGATCAGTGTCCCTGCATCCTGCCCCGGACGCATCTTACTCACACTCACACACACACACACACACACACACACACACACACACGGACAGTCTAGCCCCAAGAGCGCCTCTAGATAGAGCCTGGACAGGCCTGAGAACAGAATTCTCCACCTGGCTGAGGAGCTCCACACAGGAGGGAATGGTGGGCCTGGTTTACTCTCGAAGGTGACAGCCACATGGGCAGGGACAGGGAGCAGGGCAGGAGGGATCTCAGGACGGAGCCCCTGAGAGGGTGTGGGTGGCCAGGCCGGGACCCAGAGGGGCAGGCTGGGACAGGGACAGGAGCCAAGAGGCGGAAGGAAAAGAGCGTCGAGTGTGGGAGGGATTGGGGCGACCCGCACTCGGGCTGACTTGTTTCTCCTGGGAAAACTGGATACATTTCACTGGCCGAGGAGGAAGGTTTCTAACAGGAGACCCAAAGAATGGTTACAGTTGCCCTTCTCGGGGAGTCACCGCAAAGTTCTCTTCCTGAACCGAGGGAGCCTTCCTGGGCGCAGCTGACCTGCCCTCAAAAGGACACCAACGGTCGAAGCCCACACCTGGGCCATGGGTCCCCCTGCCCAGCCGGCTGCCCGGGCCACCAAGCGGGCCTCTGCCGCCGGGGTCGGGCTGCAGAAGGGCGCGCCCACCCGCACGGCCGCGCCTGGGGGGCTGCGGCAGGGCAGGGGACCAGGCCGGAACTGCCTAAGCGGTGACCGGGACGCCGGGAGGGTGGAGCAGGGCCCCGGGGACTGCCCGGAGCGAACGGGGGCGACGAGAGCGAGACCGCGCGGGGCGGGGAGTTGGGCACGCGGGGCGCGCGGGCCGGGCCGAGCCGGGCCGGGCCGGGCCGGGGTTCGGTGCCGCGGCCGCCGCCGCCGCCGGGAGGCCCGCGCGCGGGGAGGGGGTCCCGGCCGGCCCGCGCCCGCCGCCCGCCGCCGGCTCCTCCCCCGGCCCGCGCCGCCCTTCCGGCCCGGCCCGGCCCGGCCACCCCGCGGCCCGCCCCGCGCCCCGGCCTCACCGCCCCCACGGCCTCCTGCAGCAGCGCCCCGAGCCGGCTCAGCATGGCGGCGGCCCGGCCCGGTCCGGGCGGCGGAGCGGCCAGCGCGGCGCGGAGGAGGCGGCCCGGCGCGGCGGGAGGCGGGGCCGCGGCAGGCCCGCCCCGGCCCGGCTGGGCCCGACGGGCTGGGGGCTCGGCTCGCCCGGACCCGGAACGGCTGCACCCCGGTCCCGGCTGGGGGCTCGGCCCGACTCCACTCGGCTGCACCCTGATCCGGATAGGGGCTCGGCCCGCCCCGCCCCGGTCCGGTTGGGGGCTCGACTCGACCCCACCCGACTGTACCCTGGCCCTACTGGGGGCTCTGGCCGCCCCGGTCCAGCTGCACCCCGGCCCGGCTGGGGGCTCGGCCTACCCGGACCCGGCTGCACCCTGACCCGGCTGGGGGCTCGGCCCGCCTTGACCTATCTGAGGGTTCGGCCCAACCCCACTAGGCTGTACCCTGATCCGGATAGAGGGGCTCGGCCCGCCCCAGTCCAGCTGCACCCCGGCCCGGCTGGGGGCTAGGCCCACCCGGACCCGGCTGCACCCCGACCAGGTCTGGGGGCTCGGCCGACCTCACCCCGGACCGGATGCACCCCGACCTGGCTGGGGGCTCCACCCACCCCGTCTGGTTGCATCCTGCCCAGTTGGGGCTCAGCCCTCCCCGACCTATCTGGGGATTCAGCCCAACCCCACTAGGCTGCACCCTGATCTCAATAGGGGCTCGGCCTCCCCAGGTCCAGCTGCACCTCTGCCGGTTGGGGGCTTGGCTCGAACCCACCCCGCTGCACCCCGACCCGGTCTGGCGGCTCGCAGGCCCTGGTCCTGCTGGGCTCACAGGGTTGGGGGCTCTGCCAACTCCACCCACTTGGGCTCCCCTCCCCACTGACCAGCTGGGGGCTGGGTTCTGGCTGCACCCTGACCCGGCTGGGGCCTTATCCTGCCCCGACCTGGCTGAGTCCCCATGGGCTAGAGGCTCATCTTGCGTGGATCCAGTCAGGGAGCTCACCCAGACCCAGTCTTAGGGTTTCGCCCGCCCCTACCGGGCTGGGGTGTGTGCTCAGCCTGCTCTAACCCGGTTGTGGGGTTTGGCCCTCCTAGTGACAAGACCCATGGGGATGCCAGCGAGGGGACCCAGAGGGTTTTCGTGGAGGAATGAGGTTTGTGGGTTTTGTCCACCCCATCCATGGTCACTAGCCGGAATCTGTTGAGTGCAGGATCGTGCTGAGTGCAAAATACTTCCCGCAAACAGCAATGTAAAACTCCCTCCCTGCCTTATATTAGTTTCATGCCGAGTGGTAATTTATTAGCTCTACGAGGTTAACTCAGGGGAATGATTAAAATGAGCGTCATTTGTCTGCCGAGACAGTGCTGTGCCTGCTGGCCTGCGGGAGGAGGCACAATGGCCTGGGTTTGCCCTTGTAGCCGCACCAAGGAAAGAGACAGAAGGCGGGTGTCCCTTGGGGTGGGGGCACACCCTGGAAAATTACACTCAAGAGTTACACAAGCAGAACCTCAGCCAGAGCACAGGAGTTCTGGAATGTCCAGAGGGAGGCTTGGGGAGGGCCTAAGCAGCCAAGTCCCAGGGTGGCCAGCTGAATGTCCCTCTGCTGCCTCCAGCCCCCGGGAATGTAGGACTCATCTGATAGCCGCACACATGTTGCTTGGGGTAGATTTCTTTCTTTCTTTTTTTTTTTTTCTTTTTGGGTCACACCCGGCAATGCACAGGGGTTACTCCTGGCTCTGCACTTAGGAATTACAACTGGCAGTGCTCAGGGGACCCTATGGGATGCTGGAAATCAAATCCAGGTCGGCCGCGTTCAAGGCAAATGCCCCACCCGCTGTGCTATTGCTCCAGCCCCTCAGGATGGATTTCTGCTGACCACTGACCCCGGAGGATGAGACAGCGGGGATCACTCGGAAGGGGGTACAGCCCCTGTCACGGAGCCAAGAGCCGGTTACTGTGGGTCTTCAGGGCTTTAGGCTTTATGCATTCACCCTTCTGGCTTCTATAGTTCCCAGGGGGGCTGAGGCCTGGCCATGCCCACCTGCCCAGAGCTGGGTGCCAGCCGCAGAGGAGCAGAGCCTGCTTTCCTCCTGAGTCACCTAGGCCGGGCCAGGGTGATGGAGCCCAGACTACCTCACAACTCTCCTGCTGCTGGGGCAGGAGATGCTTTCAGAGGGTCCATCTACAAATAGGTGCCGGGTAGGGAAGGCTTGAGAAGGGAGAGGAGGTTTTTAGGCCCAAATGCCTCTGGACCGGGGCCAGACAGGCAGCCCCTTACCATGCATACGGCCTTCCCAGCTTCAATCCCCCACATCCCATACGGTCCCTTAAGCACCACCAGGAGGAATCCCTGAACTCAGAGGGGTTAACCCAGGGCATTGCTGGGTGTGGCCCAACCCCCCACCACCACCCCAAAATGTCTCTGGACGAAAGGAAAATCCAAGTCTGTTTTGTATTCTGAGCCACTGAGGCGGGTGGTGGAGGGGAGGGGTCCAGTGCTGCGTGTTCCCCGGGGCCTGTATGGGTCAAGCAGCTGCCCTCGGTGAGCTGCAGCCAGTTGATGCATAACCTTTTATACAGCTTAACTTTTGTGCTTTAAAGGCTCTAGGAAGGGGCTGGAGCGATAGCACTGCAGATAGGGCGTTTGCCTTGCACACAGCCGACTGGGTTTGATTCCCAGCATCCCGTATGGTCCCCCAAGCACTGCCAGGAGTAATTCCTCAATGCAGAGCCAGGAGTAATCCCTGTGCATCCCCGGCTGTGACCCAAAAAGCAAAAAAACAAAAATTTTAAAAAATAAAGGCTCTAGGAAGAGTCTGTGCACACACTTACTTGCTGGACGTGGCAGAGCACACTGATATTTAAATTCGACTTTAAACGGGGAGCAGGGATACTCAGCAAACGGTTCAATGATCTGGGATAAAGGCCCTTGCCTGTGGTAGCCCTGGATTTGACCCTGGCATCACATGGCCCCAGAACACTTCCCCAATGTGCCTCCCCCCAAATTCTGCTTCACTGGAGAGGAGAGCTTCCGATAATGCCTCTCTGCCTTGCAGCTTAATGGATAGGGGAGCCTGCTTCAGGGTGAACTGTCTACGAGGGGCAGAACTCTAAGCTCAGCCCAAGGTCTCCGGACAAAGACGCTGCTCTTCCGAGGAATGTGAATGGGTGTGTGCATGTTTATAAGCCCTACGATTCTGTAACTGCTTATGTGTGAATCAGGATTTCCTTATTAATAACATTAATATATTTAAGAATACATTAATAAATCATCTTCCATTAAGAAAAGGGCAGTTGTCAGAGATAATCCTTGGTTTAAAATTTCTTCCTGGGGATTAAACCCTGGTCTCATACATAACAGGAAAGTTCTCTATTGTTGAATTACATCCTGAAACCCTGATTTAAATTTCTTGGTTTTGTTTTTGTTTTTGCTTTTTGGGTCACACCTGGCGATGCACAGGGGTTACTCCTGGCTTTGCACTCAGGAATTACTCCTGGCAGTGCTCGGGGGATCATATGGGATGCTGGGAATCGAACCCGGGTTGACCGTGTGCAAGGCAAACGCCCTACCCACTGTACTATTGCTCCAGCCCCCCTGATTTAAATTTTTTAAATCCTGATGAGCCAGAAAGAATAGTTGACAGGGTGTTTGCCTTGCATGTGGCCGATCCAGACTCAATCCTCAGTACCCAAGATGGTCTCCCAAGCACCACCAGGAATGATTCAGTAGTAAGTGTTGAGTACAGTCAAGTGTCCCTCTCCCCCCGCAAAAAAAATTATATTATGAAGTTGTTTCTTCTGTTTTCAATGGCTTAATAATAATTAACCTTACCATCCAACTTACAAATGTCTTTTAATTATTAATCATAAGATCTGAATTAAAAAAATATATGTGGAGGGCTGAAAAGATGGCTTAAATGACTGAAGCATGTTCTTTGTATGAGGGAACCATGGGTTTATTCCCAGCACCATATAGTCCCTGAGCACCATGTCAGGAGTAGCCCCTGAACACTACTAGGTATGGTTCAAAGAAACCAAAACGTTATAAATGTTTTTAATAATAAATTTTTAAAAATTTAAATAATAGTGAAAAGGGGTCAGAGAGATAGTACAGTGGGTGAAGTGGTTGCCTTGCATGTAGCTGACCCGGATTCAATCCCTGGCACCATATATGGTCTCCTGAGCACTTCCAGAAGTGATCACTGAGCCTTGAGCACAACCAGTTGTTGTTCACCCCCCAAATTAATAATAATAACTTTTTGAAAACCACTTCCTTAATATTCATTCATTAAGGTCTGGGATCTGCTCTGTGGTGTGTGTGTGTGTGTGTGTGTGTGTGTGTGTGTGTGTCTTATGGGACAATTTGTTTTAGAGGACTGTTTCTCTTTGGACGGCTCTAAATTCTCAGGAACTTACTGTCCACTCTCCCTCTGCCCCCCGCCCCGTCCCAGTTTCTCAGTGGGCCATGCTTACATTGCTGTGCGCCTCCATGGGGGCTCCATGAACCTGGGGTGCTGAGTTTGTCTATGTCCACATGTCACGTGCCAAACACCTGATGCTCAGGAGCAGAAGGAGGCCCCTCACCTCTCCTTCGCCTCTCTGCTCTCCTCCTCTCAGCCCTGCTCTGCTGTCCCTGGGCTGACATCGAGGGGGGCCTGAGTCAGCAGTCAGGAAGTGCGGAGATGTTCGTCCGTCCCACACCTGGGAACTTCAGGTGAAGCGTCCCTATTCCACAGGCCTCTCACTCATGATAGATTAGCACAGTCATTCCCCGACGAATTCACACGGGGTTGGAAAATGAAAGTGTCACCAACCATTTAGATCACCTCTGGCTGTGGGGTGATGATCACTTTGCTCTTGTTTCCACCCAAGGGTCCAGAAACCAGTCCCAGGGATAGGACACTTAGGTCAGACACCTGCCCCCGGCTTAGTGCACACTTGGGCCCCTTCCAACTCACCTGCTGGCCTCTGCCTGCACCTATGGAAGGTTCCATGCCAGTCAGGTGAGGCTGGCTCCTCCCCGGTGAGCACCCACACCCCAAGTCCTCCTGCCAATCCTGGGATCAAATCGCCACCCCTCCACCTCTTAGGTAGGTCAGACCCAGATCCCGGGTCCCCTGCACAACGGGTAGGCCCAGCCAAGTCAACCAAGACATATTCCCCTCTCCTCCCTGGGCCTCCACCAAACGCTCCCCCTGAGGGGTCCCCACAGCCAGCCCAGAACTCTGGCTGCTCTTGTGCGGCCCGGGACCCACAGATTAGGGCCTGTGGGGGCAGCCGTCCAGGACGCCAATGAGTGATGCCCAGAGGAGCCCCAAGGCCTCGGTGGAGGTCAGAGTCGCTGGTCCCCAGCTGGCCTTCATGTGGCCCTTCTCTGGGCTGGCCTCTTCTTCCATGGCCTGGGGTGGGGGAGGCGAGGGTGGGCACCATCTCTCTACCTCTAAGAGCCTCTGTGCCCCAACTCAACCCTCACCCTGTCCCTCACACCCAGCTCTGGTGGCTCATAAAGGACAAATAGAGGAGGGGACCCAGTGCAACCTTTAATTCCAAGCAGAGTCCTCTCCTCCGGCATCATAGACACACATGCACGTGTGTGCACACACACACGCACCCACACACACACACAAACACACACACAGTAGAAAGGGATGCCAGGGTCTGACAGGAACAAAACCCAGACCTGGGCAAAAAAATATATATATGTATATATATATAATTATATACACACGTGTGTCTGCAGAGAGGAAAGCTGGGCGTGTGGTCAAGATCCCGCAGAGAGCCAGGGGAGGAAAGCAGCTGGGAGCCCTAAGAGTTTACATTCTTTAGAGAGCCTGATGGGGGTACATGGGTGTGGGCACAGCCTGGTAGCCACGATTCCTCCATCCAAGGGGTCCCAAAGGCCTGGGTTCTGCCAGGAGCCAGGCTGGCGCTGGGAGGGAGCATCTAGCCAGCTGTCTGGAGGCTGATGGCAGCCCAGGGCGTGGAGAGGTCACATCTCCATGCTAAGCCAAGGCTTTGGAAAGCCACAGGGCGAGAGCAAGAGGCTTTGAAGCTTGGGGGTCAAAGGGAAAAGACAGGGCAAGCTGAGGACAGGGGCCTGCCTGCTGGAGTCAGAGAGAAGCCCGGCGTGAGGGGGCTTCCTAAGGGCAGAGAAGTGCCGGCACACAGGCCCTGGAGCTCTCCACGCCAGAACCCCCCACTCCTGGGGCCCAAGGGTTCCACTGGTCAAGACACCAGAGCGATAGGATAGTGGTTTGCCTTGCACATGGCCAACCCAGGTTCCATCCCTGGCACCACACACGGTCTCCCAAGCCCACCAGGAGTAATTCCTGAGTGCAGAGCCCAAGAGTCAGCCTTGAGCACTGCTGGGTGTGACACCGACCCCCCCAAAACAAAACAAAACAAAACAAAAATAAAAACAAAAAACCAACAACCAAAAAAGACAGCAGACAGGCCTGACCACTGAGTGCCACCTTCATTGCCCCTGACTTCTCTGGGGACCTTGTGCGGGGATGGGGGAGGGAGGGAACACCAACATTAAGTGCAGGGAGGACCGGAGGGGGCACCCCAGCTCACTGCAGGGAAGAGGCTGTGTCCCCCCGACCCAGCATGGCAGAGGACTTGCCTCTCCCTCGCCCCAAGGGATGCAGCCAAGCCTGCCTCTGCGCCAGCTGCTCCCCCCAGAGAGGATGCTTTGGGGGTGGGGGACCCCCTAGGCTGCAGATCCCGCAGCAGTGGGACGGAGCGGCGCTAGAAGAGGGAGGCCTTCTTCTTCAGCTCGTTCCGCTTCCACAGGGCCAGCTTGCTGAACTCCTCGGGCGACATGGCGAAGACCCGGGAGAAGTCCTCGGCCGACAGGTGCCTCTGTGAGGGGGCACACAGCGGGGCTCAGGAAGGGGACACCTTGCACCTGCCCGGTCCCCCCCGCCCGCTGAGCATGGCCCCTGCGTACCTCCAGCCTCATGCGGTCCACACCAGGCGGCAGCTTAGTTCTGCCCTTGTTGGTCACCACCAGCATTTCGTAGGGGTAGATCTGGGGGCGGGGGGGAGGGGGCAGGGGTTGGGGTCATTCCCAGCGGTCCCGGCCCACGTGCCCCTCTCTGCTCCCCGCGCGTCCTTACCAGCCTGCAGGGGCCACTGGGGGTCATGCTGCTTGGCCATCCATCTCCCTGCCCTCCTCCGCCCCAGGAGGACCCCACCCCCACCTTCCCAGTCTAGCGCCTCTGCCCCTCACCTTCTGCTGAAGCACACAGGGCAGGGAGCTCCCCCGGTCCATCCTCCCCCTCTGGCCCTCTCCGTTCTGGGGAGACCAAAGCCGCAGTGAGCCAGCGTGGGGCAGGGAGACCTCCCGGCCTTACCCTGGGCGTCTCGTGTCTTCAGAGGGTCACAGTGCAGCCCCACACCCCCTTCCCCCCGACACTGCCAGTCCCGGCTTCTGGGGCTCCGGGCTCCCCTGGGCCGGCGGCACTCACCTGCAGACCTGTGGAGAGAAGAACTCTGTTCAGCGGGCGCTCAGTGTGTGGGGACCCCCCTCTAACCCAGCCGGACCACCACGGACTTACTTGGACTTCCGGCCTCACTCCCTGACGATGGGCTGAATTCTGTGGACTGAAGCTAGGGGGACAGAGTGCCATGGCCTGCGTGAGGGGCTGGCGTTGGCCCACCGCAAGCCCCCCCCACCTGGTCCCAGGCTCTCCCCACGCCCCTCCAGGCCCATTCTCCTGAAGCCCAGGGCTTTGGTTGGGGGAGGGACCTTACCCGGCTCAGGGTGGTCCTGCCGTAGGCGGGAAGAGAAGATGACTTGGAGGTTCCACCGTGCAAGGCTGCAAGATAGTGGAGACCTACTTCAGTCCCTGAGGCCGGCCATCACGAGGGGATGCCCTCTCGGGCCCTGGCAGGGGCACCTGGGGGAGCTGGGGGTGCTTTGCCGTCACCTTTAGGCAGGGCCCATGTGCCTGTGGTTCTGGCACAGACCTGACCTTTTCCTTGCTAGCAGAAGTGCAGGAAACATATAACAGGGCCACGTGCCCGAGTGCTACAATCCACAGTGAGCCCACATTGAGGCTCGCCACCAAGGCACGAATCTCGGGGGTACAAAAATAAGTCTTAGGGGAGCACACGCCTAACATGTGAGGCTCCGCGTCTGATCCCGGTGCTGTGTGCCTCATCCCAAGAACCACTGGGTTTGGCCCTGGTAGCCCCAGGCACTACCAAACTCAAGGGCCAAGATATTTCAGGAGTGTGTAGCTCCTATAAAAAAAATTTGTATAATTTTTCAGGTGCTGGAGAGATAGTATAACGGGTAAGCGGCCTACCAGGATTGGAACCCTGGCATCCTATATGGTCCCTTGAGCATCACCAGGAGTAATCCCTGAATGCAGAGCCAGGAGTAACCCATAAGCATTGCCAGGTGTAGTCCCCAAACAAAACAAAACAAAATTAAGTCTATAATAATATTTCAGACAAAACTACAGAACCAGGCCAGAGCAATAATACAATGGGTAAGGCGCTCGCCTTACATGTGTCCAACCTGGGTTTGATCCCCAGTTCTCCAAGTGATCCCCAAGACCTTCCAGGAGTGTTTCCTGAGCACAGAGCCAGGAGCAAGTCCTAAGTACAACTGGGTGTGACCCAATATTAAACAACTAAAAAAACAGCTATAGAATCATTATGGTCTTATTACAATGTCAGTGATCAAAATTGAAATGTCTCACAAGAGGCTGAAGAGCTAGCACAGCAGGGTAGGGCACGTGTCTTGAGCACAACTGACCCAGGTTCACTCCCTGGGATCCCATATGGTCCCCTGAGCACTGCCAGGAGTAATTCCTGAGTGCAGAGGCAGAAGTAACCCCTGGGTTTCTAGTCCTCCAGCCCACCCCGTTTCTCTAGATGCCCTGGGTTTTGGCTCAGAGGTGCTCAGGGGCTATTCTTAGTGACTTTCTTCGGTGGGGAGTGACCCAAAAGTGATAAACAAAAATTAAAATTAGTCTAGTTAGGGAGCAGACTCATTCCTGTCTGCACCATCAGCTGTCATTCTGAATTGCATATTTCATAAGATCACTACGTTTCCTCTCCTCTCCTCCCCTCCCCTTCCTTCCCTTCCTTTCCTTTCTCTCCTCTCCTCTCCTCTTCCCTCTCCCCTCCCTGGGGGTTCTTCCCCATGACTTGCTCAGGAAGGCTCTTCCTATGGTTTCGGTGCTGCTTGGGCCCTGCGGTGCCAGATTACTGGTGACAGGCAGGGACCATGCAACGCTGGAGACTGAACCACGGTCACGCATTTCGCATATGCCTTTTTTTTCTTTTTTCTAGCATTTTGGGTCACACCTGATGATGTTCAGGTGTTCCTCCTGGCTCTGCACCCAGGAATTACTCCTGGCAGTGCTCGGGGGACCACATGGGATGCTGGGATCGAACCCAGGGTTATCCATGTGCAAGGCAAATGCCCCACCTGCTGTACTATCACTCCGCCCCCTACATTTGCCTTAACCCCTTACTATCTCTGTCTGTCTGTCTGTCTGTCTGTCTGTCTTTCTCTCACTGCACCTGGTGTTGCTCAGGAGATGAAACCTGGGTCCAAAGCATGTACTATCTCTCAGGTATCAAACTTAGGGCGTCACCCATGCAGCCTGAGCTATCTCTCTGCTCCAGAGAGGCCTCCCTAAGGCCAGTCTCTCACATCCTGAGGCTGGGTCTCCTCCCAGTCAGTCCCCCGACTGCTCTTGATGTGTTCGGGGCCAGGGTGCACCCGGGCCTCCCGGGGTCTCTCTCAGCACGGGCTCCTTCTCTCTCCTTCTCTCCCAGCCTTTCTGCTCTGCGTGCTGCGAGGGCACTGCCTGATGCCAGCAGCTGCTCAAGCTTCCACTCAAACTCAGGGCCTACCTGCGTGCCCCAGGCTGGGTACCAACTGACCCAGAGCTAGTCTCTTCACCTGTCTCCTGATTCCCCTCCTGCAAGACCTTAGATCCAGGGCCCAAAACAAAACTGTTAAACTGTTGCCCTTAGTCATTTAAACTGTCATTCCTCACCCCACATTCAAACTGTCCCTGAGGCAGCTGATTGAATTCTAGTCCTCCACCCCACCCCGTTTCTCTAGACCCCCTGGGTTTTGGCTCAGAGGTGCTCAGGGGCTATTCTTAGTGACTTTTTTTTGGGGGGGGGTGCATACTCCTGGCTCTGTGCTCAGGGATCACTCCTGGCAGGCTCAAGGGACCATACAGGGTACGTGGGGTCAAACCAGAGCCATGTGCAAGGCCATGTGCCCCACACACTGTGCTCTCTCTCCAGACCCCCAGGGGCTATGCCCGATGCGGTCCCTGGAGGATTGCTCCTGGTGGTGCCCGGGACCAGGAGCTCAAACCAGACATCTGCAAGCAAGCACCTCCCAGCCTAGGGCTTGATTCTTTCACTATTTCCTACCACTTGGTTATGGAAAATACACCTAATACACAGCTTATTAAGCCAAATCTGCTAATTCTTCTTTGGTGCATCCTGTCGTTTGAGGGCGAAGGTCTCCCAGACAGTATAGGGGGCTCGGGGAGGGGGGGTCACTCCCAGTGATGTTCAGTCAACTGGGCACAATGGTTCGACACCTGAGCCCAGCAGTGCCAGGGTGCACCAGGGCTACATCTGGGGGTGCTCGGGGCCTCAGGTCAACACCCAGCAGCACTGAGCGACCACATGGAACTTGGTTGGTGCTGCCGTCCCGTCACCCAGCCCGAGCTGACAGCCTCTCTTCCTATCCGGCCTTGCCCCGAGGAGTGTGTAAACGTCATGCCTGGTGCCCGGGCCTCCCCTTCCCCTCCCCAACAGTGCTCGCAGCACAGGGCCGGACATAGGATAAACAAACTCCACCAGCTGCCGGGGGCTCCGTCCAGGGCACTCACAAGTGTGGAAGGGGGTCCGGTCGGGCAGGGAGCGGGTTTTCCTCCGGATAGGCAGTGACTTTTCCATCTCTTCTTTCAGGATCATCTTTCCCAGGTTGGAAGTAACCTGGTTAAGGAGGCAGGAAGATGAGGCCAGGACTCGTCTCTCGGGCCCACACGGTTCAGAGCGAGGGCAGGTCGAGGCCCCGAGGGCGGCTGCCTGGAGTCAGCGGCTGCCCCAGGAGGCTCTTTGCTCTGCTGCACGGGGCCACCGTCAAGACAAGGAACTGGAGCTGCGCTGCATAGCATCAGCCCCACCCAGCCTCGGCCCACGACACCTCCAGTGTCCATTGCTGGACTCCAGCATCCACCCCGCCGGCCCCCGCCACTGGACACCGTGCCCAAGTGCCCTGCTCAGCCTGCACCAATGAAGCCACCGGGTTCTGTGTTCGTCACCCTGAGATTAGGTCATGGCCCCAAAGAGCAGCAGGAAATCCAGGGGCCCTTTGGGAGGCAGCAGCGGGGGGAGGGGAGGCCCGGTGACCCTCATCACAGAGCGCGCAGGCAGAGATGCCATCCTTGCAAACGTCGGACCACACCTGCTCCAAGCACCAGGGCAGAGGGTGTGCAGCCTCTAGCGCACACCAGGCATGCAAGGGCCCCACCACTGCCGAGCCAGACCCCGCAGGCAGGCAGGGACGGCAGGCACGTGACCAAGTGCAGGAGCTAGGCGTGAGGAGGACCAATGGGTGGGCATCGCAGCTGGGCACCGCTAACAGAGAGAAGAAGAGGGGAATCAACTGAAAAAAAAATAAAAATAAATTGAAAGCGGCAGGCCAGGGGCAGGCGAGAAGGCTCAGGGAGCTGGAGCTCAGGCTCTGCTGGTAGGAGGCCAGGGTTTGGTTCTGGCCCTGGGGTTTTCCAAGTGGCCCCCAGCACTATGGCCCCTAACAAATAAAAAGTGACCCCTGAAATGCTGGGGGAGCAGGAGAATTGCTGCCCAGCTCTGTTTTGGCTGGACACTCCCAGGCTGAAGCCTGCTTTGAACTGCCTGGCTGGGGTTGAAGCTTCTGTGCCCCAATAACAGGGAGGCTGGGAGGCAGGGAGGCTGGGAGGCAGGGAGGCTGGGAGACTGGGAGGCTGGGAGGCTGGGAGGCTTGGAGGTGGGGAGGTAGTGAGGTAGGGAGGTGGGGAGGCTGGGAGGCAGGGAGGCCAGGATTGGGGAGACAGGATTAGGGGAGGAAGGGAGTCTGGGAGGTTAGAGGTGTGGAGGCTGGGGGACCGGGAGGCAGGGAGGCAGGGAGGTTGGGGAGCTGGAGGCTGGGAGGAAGGGAGGCTGGGAGGCTGGGAAGCAGGGAGAGAGGGAGGCAGGAAGGCTGGGAGTGGGCAGGTGGGCGCTCTACCTTACTGAGCTCCTCTTTCTGACGCTCCCTCAGGGCCTTCATTTCCTCCCCAGAATCATCATCTTCCTCCTCCTCTTCTTCCTCAGCGCCCCTCCGAGATGCCTTCCGCTTCCTCCATTCCGTCTCTGGGAAACACAGGCCAGGGCCGCATGGCGGTCAGTGAGCGGCCCCAGCAGGCACCTGCCAGGCGCTGGCATGTGAAGGGCACAGGCAGGCCTGGTGAGGCTACACCCCAGAGGCGGGGGGCAGGGGGGTGGGCAGGCACACCCAGAGGTCAGGGTCTACTCTGAGCTCTGCACTGAGGGTCGCTCCTGGCCAGATGGCCGCAGCAAGGCCCCTCGCCCACTGCTGTCTCTGCTACTACTGGAGCTCATTTCCAAGACGGCAAAGAACCACTTCTGAGCATCTCAGTAGAGCCAGTGGGCACACCTGGGTGCCCATGCACACCAACGCAGGCCAGTGGGCAGGCAAGAGCTGACGCTGGCTCACTGGGGACCGACACACACCTCCAATCTTTCTCTGTCTCTGTCTCACTGCCTGAGACGAGGCAGGGTTTGATGCTTGTGACGTAAGCGGATGAGGGAGGAGGCTGCCTATGGCAGGTGGCAAATCTGGCCGCTCCCCCGCCCCCCCGCCCCCGAGTTCCAGGACTTCAGGGAGGTGGTGGAAGCCGGAGATGCCAAAGGCCATGGGATGAGTGGAGGAAGGTGCCTCACTGGGTTTCACCAGGGTGCAAGAGGGAGGTGGTGTCTGGGGTTGACCCCCTACACACACACACACACACACATATATACACAGTCACACATACTCACACAATCACATGTTTACATATACAACACACACATAATCCTATACGCAACCACATACTCACATACAATCACACACATTTACATACACAATCACACACATAATCATACACACAACCACACACACACTCACACAATCACACACACACTCACACAATTGCACACATGTTTACATATACAATCACACACATAATCATACACACAACCACACACACTCACACAATCACACACATAATCATATACACAACCACACACAGTCACACACACAGAATCACACACATGTTTACATACACAATCACACACATAATCATGTACACAGCCACACACTCACACACGTTTACATACACAAACACACACATAATCATACACACAACCACATACACACTCACACACACACACACACATGCTCACACGCACTCACACAAGTTCCTCTTACCCACAACGGCCAGCGACGGGGGGCACGGCCAGTAGTCGGTTTCTATCTTGGCTGGCTGGTTGGGGTCGGGGGGCTGTGCCGCAGGGAACTTGGACGACTCGATGATGAGGTCCTCAATGAGGTGTTTGCTCTGGGGGCTGCCCCCCACAGACTCTGAAGACAGTGCTCAAGGTCAGCCTCGCTGGCCCACTCCTGCCCCCAGCTCACTCACCGCACCCCAACCACAGCTGTCCCATCCCCCCAGTCCCAAAGCAACAGGCAAAGGTTCCAGGCAGCCCAGACACTCCACTTCTGCCCCCGCCCTCAGCACCGTGGGCAGCGCTGACCGGGCAGTGGCCTCGGGGACCCTCACCTCTCTGCTTGTAGATGGGGGGTTTCTTGTAGATGTTGGAATCTGGGCGGGTGGTCTCTGCAGAGAAGGAGCAAGTGAGGAGAAGCAGAGTGTGTTGGGGTGGAGGGGGCCGTGTCAGTGATGAAAAAGGACTCACAGAGAGCCAGGGCTTCCGTAAAGAGCCCCGACAGTGTCCGGTCCCTAGGAAGGGGCCTAAGTGGGTGGAACTTTCTTCCATTTTTTTCTTGTTTTTGGGCCACATTTGCTGATCTTCACGGGTTACTCCTGGCTCTGCACTCAGGAATTACTATTGGTGGTGCTCAGGAGACCATATGGAATGCCAGGGATTGAACCTGGGTCCAACCCCTGCAAGGCAGGCGGTTGCCCTATCTGCTGTACTCTGGGTGGACTCCATGGGTGAACCCTTTTGTCTATCCCTGGTGTGGGAGGGAAGGCAGGGTAGCCCCGCCGTGTACGGAGCCTTCCTGCAGCCCTGGCACTGGGGGACGGCTCAGTTTAGGCTCAGCATGTGCTTGAGAAAGGAGCCAGGATTCCTGGGGGGGGGGGGGGGAGGGGTGAAAGTGGTCCCAGGACAAGGGTGCAGTCATGCTGACCGCAAAGCCTACCGGGATGGTGGAAATGGGGCAGGCTGGTCCGGGGGGTCCCCGTGGTTCTTGGAGCTGCAGCCTGAGAGATGGTGCCGGGGGACCGGCTGTCCGCCCACACCTGCAGAGCAGAAAGCCAGCTCCCAGGTCTGGGCCTCCCTCACAGACACGCGTCACCTTGTGTCCCAGAGCTGCCCCGCACCCCCCAACATGGAGGGAGAACAATCACCAGCGAAGGGGCCAGAGGGTCCTTCCCTGATTCTGTGCCTGGCAGGGGATGGAGAGCCATCACCCCTGCCGGGCATTGGGGGATGGTGAGCCAGCTGTCGGGGTGGGTGGGGTGGGCAGACTCACCTCTGGGGATGGAGGGGGGGATGTGGATTTGGGGGACAGCGAGCGCTGTGAATAGAGAGCAGGCAGTCAGAGCCTCATCCCAGAGCCCCCACAAGGCCCCTCTGCACCCCCCCTTCACCCTGAATGCTGGCAGGACCCATCTCTGGGCCATCTCCTCCATCCTTCACTTCACCCTGGGCCTTCCAGAAGCCTCTCGCCAGCAGGAAGAGAGCAGGGCTGAGCATGTGCCGTGCTGAGACCACGGGGATAGAGCCCAGCCCTGCGGGGACGTGGGGGTGGTGGCCCTCCTGGAGCCTGGGGGATGGTGGCCTTGTGCCCACAGCCGCCCTCTGCTCTGCCCGGGCACCACCGCTCTCCTGGAGGCAGTTTCCATAGAAGGAGCACAGCATGGACGCACGCACCTGACTCCAGGGTAGGTGGGCAGGTGGAGGTGGCAGTGTCACCAGACCCCACAGGAGAGGGATGGAGGGCACACACCATCACTGTTCTGTCCACCAGGTTCAGTGTCCCCTGGCCTTCCAGGGATTGACCCTCCTTTTGACAACTCCTAACCTGTCCTGGCCTGAGTCCCTAAGCCCTCCCTCCCACCCCTCTCTGTGAGCCCCCCAACCCTGGCTGGTGACCTGACCCATAAGTCGCAGAGCCCTCCCCCCTTCCTCTGGGGGGCACACCCCGTGCTCAGGGATCACTCCTGTCTCTCCTCCTCCCCCCTCTATTTATTTATCTTCCTTTTTGGGTCACACCCAGCAATGGTCAGGGGTTACTCCTGGCAGTGCTCAGGGGACCATATGGAATGCCGGGGATCGAACCCGGGTCGGGTGCGTGCAAGGCAAACACCCTACCTGCTGTGCTATTGCTCCAGCCCACCTTCCCCCTCTCTTATTCTTTGCGTCTGACCTCCAGGGCCTGAGACAGGGCTGGGTTCTGCCAGTGCCCTGAGCCAGTCCTGCCCGGTCATGGGGCCTCAGCCCTCACCTCCCGGCTCCGGGGCAGCTCCACATGCTCCAGGAGAGAGTAGGTAAAGTGGGGCTCGTAGATCATGAGGTCAGGCCGCTCGATGTCCAGGATGGCCTTGTCCTTGGGGATGGCAGCCAAGTCCTTGTAGCCCAGCACCTGATTATCCATCTTGGCCTGGGGGAAACAGCGGGAAGAGGGTGATGGGGCGGAAACTGGCCTCCAGGGGCCTTATTCCATGCTGCCAGCTGCTGAAACGGACCCTCCTGGGTCACCTCACTAGTCGGGGACCTGGCACTTGGGGGATCCCCTGGGTGCGGAAGGTCCCCCGGCGTCCTGCGGGGCAGCGGCCAGGGGGGGCTGCACGTTCCGCCCCCTCCCGGCCTGAGGGTGCTGGTGAGGGGTACTCACCACGATGCTGGAGGGAGAGCCGGGCACACTGGAATCTCTGGAGGAGCTGACGCTCCCGGGGGAGGTCAGTGGTTGCTGGGGAGAGGGAGAAGGCGGGCGGGTGGGCACGTGCGTGTGGGCGAGGGCGGCGGGGCTGTGCGGACGGCGGAGGGCCCGGGGGTGCAGTGCTGCGGGCAGCCACCAGGTGGCACCGCCGGCTCCCGACCTGCCCCACCCCGCGCGCGCACCTTCTGCAGCCGGTCCATGCAGCAGGCAGCTGGGGGGTCGGGTCACCGGCGGCGGGGTGCTGTGCGCGACGGGAGAGGGCCGGGCGTCAGGCTGAGCCCGGCTCCGGGGCGCGGCGCGCTCGGGGCCGTGAGAGCAGAGAGGGCGATCCACCGGGCTGTAGCGTCCTCATCCCTCGGTGGCTCCCGCGGGCAGGGCGGCCGACCTGTAAAGGAAGCCAGCCGAACGCTGCGAGCCAGGCCTGCTGGGCCCCGGCCGGCGCTCCCAGAGGGCCCGCGGCTCGGGCTTTCCATTCGTGCATTCCGGGACAGCCGGTGCACGTGGACAGAGCAAGGCGGAATGTGGCCGGGACTGCACTTGGCTGTGAGCCATCATTCTAGGGCTGGAAAGGAAATGACAGCAGGGGTCAGCCACCCAAGCACATCCCAGCTTTGTCACACCTGCGGGGGGGGGGGGGGGCAAAGCTGCTGTCCACTTCCAGTTCGGTCTCACCACCACCCTCCCCCCTTGGCCTCTGCCATGGCCCTGGTTTGGGGCTGGCCTCTTTCTCCCACCTCCAGAAGGCTCAGCCCAGAGGGAGTGGTCACTACCCAGAGCCACAAGGTGGGAGCGGAAAGTGCCAGGCTCCCAGGGAAGAAGCAGGGGACCCTCCCCCATGCCTGTTCCCTGGCGGCCACATTCCAGCAGGGCTGCTGCTTCCAGTCCACTGGCGCAGAGGGACAGGAAGTGTCTAGGCACCGTGCTCTGTTCTCTCTGCCCCAGAAGGTCACCAGTTTCCTGGGGCCGCTCTTCACTCCCTCAGCAAATCTCTCTGCCATCCTCAGCCCCACACCGCCCTCCCCTGGATGGTGGCCCTTCAGCCCAGGCAGGTCACCAATGGCTGCCGTTGTGCCCTGGTGGCCAGAGCTGTGGCGAGGACGGGAAGAGGCAGCGCCATGCGGTCAGTGTGTGGGTGCCGGCCGGAGTGCGGGTTCTGCCCCGCAGAAGCTGGGTCACCTTGGGAAAATAGCCTTGCTTCACGGGGCCACACAGTATTCGTCCATTAAATGGGGGGGTGTACATGACAACTGGGAGCCAGAGCAATAGCACAGCAGGCAGGGAGTTTGCCTTGCACGTGGCTGACCTGGGTTCGATTCCCAGCATCCCATATGGTCCCCCTGTCAGGAGTAATTCCTGAGTGCATGAGCCAGAGTAACCCCTGTGTATCGCCGGGTGGGACCCAAAAAGAAAAAAAAAACATGACAACTGTTTGGTGTGTTCACAGTCATTCTTTCCGCTTCCCTCTTCCCCGGGGCTGTAGCATTCCCGTGCACAGAGGATCATGACAGGCTCATCACGGTGTTCCCGATCTTAGCCCCTCCTGCACTGTATCAGGCCGTTACCTGCCCGCTGTCCCCCTGCTGCCCACCGCCCAGCCGCCCTCACTCCCGCTTCCCTGCACTGTCCGCTCCTGGTGCCAGACCTGGACAATCCTCCAGGCTCCTCTTCCTCCTGCGCTCTTGTCTGTGCCCTGGCCAGTATATCCTCCTGAATCCCGGGGACCATGTTTAACCTGGGGTAACCTCGGCCCCAGTTAGGTGGGGGCTGACAGGGGTCGTGGCTGAACCCAATTAGAACGAGTGCTGTGGGGCTGGAGCAATAGTACAGCAGGTAGGGCGTTTGCCTTGCATGCGGCCGACCCGGGTTCGATTCCCAGCATCCCATAGGGTCCGCTGAGCACTGCCAGGAGTAATTTCTGAGTTAAGAGCCAGGAGTAACCCATGAGCATCGCTGGGTGTGACCCAAAAAGGAAAAAAAAAAGAACGGCTGCTGGAGGAAAAAGCGCAAGTGCCCCTCTGAGGAAAAAGCGCAAGTGCCCCTCTGGCCTAGGTACTCTGATAGGTACTTCAGGAGGACTCTCTTATGTCATCCCCAACACTCCTCTAACAGGAAGCCCTTTTATAGGAAACAAACTGAAATTCCGAGAGATTAAAAACTCCTCTTCAGGGGGTGGTGGGAAAAGTAACAGTGTGTAGGGCGCTTTCCTTGCACATGGCTGACCCGGGTTCGATCCCCAGCACCCGACAGGGTCCCCAGAGCCCGCTGGGAGTGATCCCTGAGCACAGAGCTAGGAGAAATTTCTGAGCACCACCAGGTGTGTTCCCCCTGACTCCCTCCAACCAAATCCCATAACCTCTCTTTAGCACTGGAGCAATTCACAGAGTCTCACTAGCACTGGCCTATTGGGGGCAGACGGGAACCTGCTATGCCGCTCCAGTCTTTGTGGAATGCCAGCGCCGAAGCACATTTCTGACAAGACTTGAGCTGCCCAGATGCTCATATTTCTCACAAGACTGGTGCATGGAGGGGTTCCAGGGGTCCCAGTGACCCTAGAGAGACTCCAGTCCATAGTTTCATCCTCCTTCTTAATGCTTTTTGGCAATGCTTTTAAAAATCAATTTACCATTTTTTCATTTTTCATTTCATTTCATAATCCTGTTATTCGTCGATTGCCTCGCGCAGGCCCCAGTAATGTCTCCTTCATCCTAGCCCTGAGACTATATTCAAGGCTATTTAGGAGAATGAGACCCATCATTGTTACTGGTATTTGGCATATTTGGTACGCCACGGGGAGTTTGCCAGACTCTGCCCTGTGGGCAGGCTACATTCGATAGCCTGCAAGTTTGTCCAAAGTAGGAATGAGATGATAAGATGTCATAAAAGATGTCCTGATAAGATGTCGCGCGGCCGCAAATGCGGTTCCAGGAGCTGGATTTTATAGTCTCTGAGTCTTGGCCGTTGATGGGATTACACGGCGCCAGGGGGCCAGGTGGTGGGTGTGACCCCCGCCTACTGGAATTTGGAGGATCTGGGTGGAGGATGCTCGACTCCAATCCGAGTACCATTTTAAATTTGTTTTATTTATTTTTTTTATTTCAGGGGCTTCCCAAGCTAGGCTCAGGAGACTCCAGGGGCCACTCCCAGTGATACTCAGCAAATTGTGCTGATGGCTCAATGCTCGGGCCTGGTAATGTGGGGCTGGGGATCAAACTTGGGGCCTCGGGCTGGCAAGGCATGCACCCCAACCCTTGAGCTATCTCCTTGGCCTCCACCTTGTAATGTTAGATGTCTGAGAACCAGAATAAGTTCTTACAGATCTGCTTTTCTACTCATCTTCGTCCTCTCCTGCATCTTTATTTGGGTAACGTGCATGCCCAGACGAACCATACTCTTGGCTTAACCTTAGCGGCAGACTGTCACCCATATACCCATTCTACTCAGCCATCCACCAACTCCATTCATCCTTCCAGCCACCAATCCACCCAGCCATGTATTGCTCATGGGGGGAGGGGGTGGGGGAGGTGGGGGCACAACCTTGACAGTCTTGAGAAGCCACCGAGGCTATAGCCAGTAGGAGGGGGACAGAGCTGGACATGCAGTGCTGAAGATTATATCCAGGGCCTCACATGATCATAGCATGTGCTTTCCCACATACGTCAACCCCTGCTCTCCTGTCGTCGGGTTCATCCATCCACCAGAGACTTTCCCAGCACCTCGTCTGTCTGCCCTGCGCGGTCAGACTCCGAGGAGCCTCCTGGGGGGAACAGGGCTGAGGGGCCTCCAGAAATGCGGCATGTGGAGGCCAAAGCCCCTCCCGGGGAAGCACCTCAGGGCTAGCAGAGGCCCAAGAGACAGGAGTGGGGTGCCAAGAGGGGACAGAGAGGGGCGCTTCAGTCAGTGTGGGGAGTGGGTCGGAGCCGGCACCAGGGGATACTAGTGGAGGAAAGTTGACGCTGGTGGTGGGATTGGTGCTGGAATATTGACACTGGAGGGGGGACACTGTATGTCTGAAGCTCCATTATGAACAGCTCTGCATATTGCAGTGCCTGAATTAAAAAAAATTGGGGGGCTGGAGCAATAGCACAGCAGGTAGGGCATTTGCCTTGCACGTGACCAACCTGGGTTCGATTCCCAGCATCCCATATGGTCCCCCAAGCACTGCCAGGGGTAATTCCTGAGTGCAGAGCCAGGAGTAACCCCTGTGCATCACCAGGTGTGACCCCCCAAAAAAATTTTTATAAGAGAGTTTGCCTTAAACAGAAGGTATTTGGAGGTGCCCCTTGGTCATGCAAACACTGAAAAGGGGATTCTTGGTCTTGTCTTGTTCGGGGGACCACACCCAGTGATGCTTAGGGCTTACTCCTCGCGGTGCTTGGGGGACCATACGTGATGTTGATTGAACCAGGGTCAGCTGTGTGCAAGGCAAGTGCCCTACCCACTGTACTATGGCTCCAGCCCCCCAAAAAGAGACTCGAAAGAGAAAGCAACAGCTTGCAGTTGGGACGGGGGTGGGGGTGGGGGGTAGGGTTTGGAAGCACACTGGCATTTCGGGACATAGCAAGGATGGCTGATTCCCAGACATCACAAGGTTCAGAGAAGTTTGGGGGCCAGATGGTGGAGGCTTTGAAGCCAGATTAAGGGATTGTGATTGTGTTTTGTGGGTGACAGTGGACCAAGGAATGCTTAGAAAGTTTTTGACACAAAGACTTTGGGAACACCTGCCTGCAGGTGGCGGGGAAGGGGCCGGCAGTCTGGGCACTGCATCCAGGAGGCTGCAGCCTTAGTTCCTGACAGAGACTTGCATAGGGAACCAGAGATGGAGATGGAGCTGGTGGAAGAAAGCCTGGATCTGGGCATCCCAGCAGAGGGAGAGGCCAGGGAGGGAGGCAGAGACAGGTGAGGGGGTACAGTGAGGCAGGTGGAGGAAGAAGGGCAGCAGGAAGTCCCGGATTCGGGAGTCCCATGGGCTCCCGGTGGCCTGAGCATAGGGTCACCTGCCGAGGGAGGAGGAAGAGGGGAGCAGCATCCTACGATGCAGGACCGAAGCAAGACAGGGACAGCCGTCAGGGAGGAAACGGCAGGACAGCTTCTTGCAGGTAGAAGGTAGTTTGGTGATTCTTAGTGTTTGGGCCTGGTCCCTTGTGTGCTGTAACACGGAGGGCTGGCAGCTGAGGAAGCAGATTACCTTGGAGCAGGACTAGAGAAGTCACGGAGAGTGGGGGGAGCTCTGACCAGTGGCCAGCCAGAGGCTGGGCACCTTGGCGGGTCTAAGGAACCAGTGTCGCCCCTGGCTCAGGGTAATGGGGGGAATATGTGGGCGGCTCCAGCTGGGGTGCACAAATGCACAGGTTCCGGGAAGGGTGGGAGGGGCTGGGGCACCTCTGG